GGAGCATGTGGTGTGAGAGACAGTAGGTGCAGTGCCTCCCCACTCCTCTCGGCGTTCGCTCTCTCTCCTGTTTGCGTCCCACATTCTTGTCCACTCGCGCCTCACTTTTGATCATTCGCTGGCTAGGCTCCCGTCCACTCGGGCCTCACTCTTGACCGTTCACTGGCTAGGCTAGCTAGGCGCCTCTCAAGAACATCCGGAAATGTGTGCTCGAGACGCCGCTGTGAAGCGCCAACGCCGAGCCGAGAATGCTGTCTGTTTAGTTGACTTCATAGTATTTTAAATGCATTTCTTAGCGAACTTCGGTGATTTTGAGCGTGTCTATCTATCTATCTATCTATCTAGCCACCTAAGACTTTTAACTCTCCTCGCCGTTTCAATAATGGTATCGATACCAAACTTGGTATGGTATCGATACCATACCAAGTTTGACATGACAGTATGAAGAACATATTTGACTAGTCATTACATGAAAATCATGACATGTATGTCATGATTTACACTTCATGGTCCTGCAGATCTTGTGGTTTCGTTCACATGGCATGTTGCAAAACCGGTATGGTATAACATGATTGCATGGCGAACACAAGCTACATACCCTAACATAAAAATCATGACATGCGTGTCATGTAACAACATGACTGCATGCCACACTCGTGATGCGCTCGCACCATTTCGCTAGCATCACATATACCAAATTTGGTATTACGGTGCGTCAATGGATGATGAAGGTATGTGACTGGTGCAAACATCATAAACATGAGATGCGTGTCATGTAACATGACTACATGCCACGCTCATGATGCACTGGGGGCCGTTCGAGATACTAGGCAGCAGAAAAGCACCGCGTAAACAACAAACAACCAGGCATCAAAGCAAGCGGAACTGTGTTGCGACTGATCGAGTTCGCTGATGACGTCAATTACCAACATCGTGTCACGTTACCGAAATAGGCGGAGTCACGTCGACGGGCTACGCCTTCCCCTCCATGTGAGGCAGAAGGGTGGCAGGGCCACGCGGAAGTTTGAAACCAGCTGAAAACGATGTTCTAATCTCTGTAACTTTCTTAATATAGGACGCATTCGCAAAATTTTTGCGGCAGTATGTTCATGGAGTAAAAGTGCACATATTTCTCTTTATAACAATTTTTTGACTTTGGGGTTTTTTACTGGCTCTTTAAGGTCACGAGGCGCACGTGCTGTATTTCCTTTCCCCATGTCATCCCTCCCTGCTTAGTTTCCTGCGCTTTCGTCGGACGAGAAGAGAGAATGTAATTGAAGCGCGCAACAAATCTTTGCAACTCTGCTCATACTATAAGGATTCTAAATATTTTTGCGACGGTGAGGTAATAAGCTTCTTTAGTGAATCTATTCGATGGCTTCTTGAAGAAGTGTTCCAGGGCCCTTTTAAATGAACATGATACCCTCAAATCGATTCATCAATTTTTTTAATTGAAAGCTTGTTATGCAGGCTTATATACTCCAAGTATAATAAATTTTTAAATGTGACGTATTTTACAGGTTACCTGCTACTACTCAAGGCTGTTCCGACTTCCTTTGAACAAAAAAAAAATGCCATTTGCTTAGAGGCCTCATTTTAATTAAAAAAATATTGTTCAGATTAGTAAGGCGATGATGAATATACCTATTTTTCTTTATATGTCATATATACTATTCAAATTCGATTTGAAATTATTGGACCAAAATCAACATACTCTCCGAACCTGAAATTCACTATTTGCACAAGCCTACTGAAAACCATGAAGCATGATTCAAGTAGTGTGAACAATGGGCATTAAAATGCAGGAATGCAGTGCTCACTATTCACCACACTGTATATTCATGTATTTTTGTTTAAAGCAACAAAAGAAAGCCTGTCACTTGAAACGAGAATATTGGTTAATGCACAAGGAGGCCCCACTTCGTATATCACACTATTAAAACTACAATAGAACTTCAAAAAACCAGTCGATAACAAGCGATTATACCCAACAGCATTTTTTAGATTTCGGAAGGATGTAATGACAGTAGTACCACAACTCTTTTCCTGATTTATGATTCATTCACTTGTTGCTGTCCGTCACTACCATATATGGACGCATGCTGTAGGCCCTGTCTTTGCCTTTTATTGACCTCGTCGTCATGCTAAATACAGCACTCGTCAAATCACGTCCTCTACGAGCACTTGGAAGGAAAACCAAGTGCAATAATGGCTACTTGACCTTGTCAAGAATGAACTGCACAGTATTTTGCATTGCACTATGGTTTGTATTGCATCTAGCTCTATTCTTTCAATAAAGCCTTTATTTAAGCCTCTGTTATGAATATAAAGTAGTGTCAATAGCCATCTTGATATTAGCCTTTACAGTCACTGATATTAGCCTTTACAGCCAGTAGCCAGTGCTTTACTAACTCAATCAAAATACTCTTTGGCTTAATCACAGGACAATGCGTGGTTCTTAAACTGTCACTAGTGTTTTGAGGAGAGTTGAAAAATGACCCTAAATGCTTTTGCCATTAAAAGTAGCCAGTCAATGCTTTTGCAATAAAATTGGCTTATAGTTCACCAGGCTAACTTCTGCAACTTTGTTCGCAGCACTTTCTTTAGAATTTTTTTCCCTTCATGGAGAGGTGAAACAGAATCTTTTGAAAAAGCTAAGTTTTACAGATATCGTACCACCTTATATGATGGGTGTGTGAATAATTTGAAAACAGAGTTGAATATGAACTAAATAGTGATGACACCAAATTAAAAAAATACTATTAGAATAATTTTCACATAGTAGGCCAACCATTTTCACAGAAGCACCGGAATAATTCTGTCACCATTTTTGAAAGACAGCCCAACAAATCCGTAGCATTTTATTTGAAATAATTATTCACTAGCTTTAATTAGGGAAGACTACAATTACTTTTAACCAACAAAAAATTATTGGTAAACCAAAGCAGCCTCTTTATCATCATCATAATCAGCCTGATTACGCTCACTGCAGGGCAAAGGCCTCTCTCATGTTCCGCCAATCGACCCAGTCCTGTGCTTTATGCTGCCACGTTACGCCTGCAAACTTCTTGATTTCATCTGCCCACCTAATTCAACGTCTCCCTCACACAAGCTCCTCTACAATAGCAAATAATAGCAACTATAGGCAAATAAAGCACTTTTCAGCCACTTTTAGTCTATAGTTTTTAATGTTAAAATTAAAAATCGATTTGGTCTCTTCCTCAGGAATGACAGTCGCCCCTGAGGAAGAGACCGAATTGTTCCTAAAGCGTGGGGCCAGTTTTAAGCTTTTAATTTTAGCATTAATAACTATAATTAAAAGTGGCTGGAAAGTTTGTTTTATTTGCATAATTTTTACCCTGTGAAGTATGTTAACCTTTAAATCGTTACACTCTGACTACGGCCAAATAGCAACTATAAGCTGAGAAGAAAAATGTACTCCGAGGGCTCGTTTCTCTTCGTTGAACACAACATTAATGAGAACTAACATAAAATAAAACCAGGAAAAGTCTATGGGATATTGTCAGAAGTAATTGTAATGCAAGATCTGAACATGCAACCTTCTAATAACACGTCCGATGCTCTACCACTGAGCTATGGCTATGGCAGCTGCCACCGTAGCTCAGTGGTAGAGCATCAGATGCGTTATTCAAAGGTCACAGGTTCGAATTCTGCCAGTGGCAAGTTACCTTTTCGTCGATGTTTTTTTCCGCACATTTACATTGCAATTACTCCCGATAACATTCCCTATACTTTCCCTGGCATTATTGTCTGTTGGTTCTCATTACAGGCTTAGCAATAGTTCGTAACTGCAGGATGAAGCACAGTAGTAACTGTAGCAGTCAAGGTGGCAGTTTGTCAACAGATTTTAAATAAATCCAGTATACTGTGACTGTGATCAATATAGTGCTGATAGTCCCTTAACACCTTAGCCTGCATGCATCTTTGAAATAGGGAGTAGGCACTGAGCTTTTATTTTATTCACAAGGGGGCAACACTATCACTGCGCCATTATGAAGGTTTGCTCGTATGTGGGTCAAGCTGTCCGTGCTTAGGCGTGCAGGAGGCATTACAGGGGTCACTAGGCATTGAAGTTGCCGTACGTATCTCGAACACAGCACACGCAGCAAGTTTTTTGTGTGTGTGGCGGGCACGCGGACCGCCAAAATAGTGACCCCCGACGGTAGCGATCCTTGCGGATGACGTCAAGTGTATACCCCTGTAGTATGGTTAACAGAAGAAATGTTACTTCTCTCTGTCCCAATATTCTCTTCTTTTGCATTGGTGCTTATTCAAGAATATTTGGTGTTTCTAATATGCACTATTCAGTTTGAGTAGCGAATCGATTGCTATTTGATTTCTTAATCTAAATTTTGTAATATTTGCACACTCCTACACATTATACAACTAAGATACCGTACATTCTTAATTCGAGCATTTAATAGCACTCCCTTGGTTTCTATAGTGATAAAACAAGATAGAATCTATTATTAGTCATGTGAACATTATAATATTGAGATATGTCACTGTCAGCCTACATTTTCACATCAAAAGTTGGGTGTGCAAAAAACTGCCGTCAAAATTATGCTACCTTTCCCCCTTAAGTGGCTGGGGGGAAGGGCGGCATCTGCCCCTGCTCTGCTCCTTGTTTGCACATTTATGGCTACACTTGTGAACAACTTTTCTTGTCAAGTGCTACCATTAATAAATCTAGTCCCATGATTGAGTTTAAAACACTGCTTCAGCCTTTGAAGGAAACTATTTGAAAGACGATGTAGCTACTCCAGTGTGATGCTTATATTTGCTATATAATATCGTTTTATAGTTCTTGGACATGTAAAAACGTCATGCACTTTATGTGTATCGCAAAAGCAATACACATCTATGTCCAGGTGAGCATTTCCTTCTTGCTCTTCTGTGTACTCGCCTCTAAGATTTGAGGTGAACGTAACATACAAATGGCTAAAAAACCATGCAAAGCAAATGATACGTAAAGTTTATGCTGATGAGCCTTCATTTACCAAAGATGTGCAAAATGCTTTCCAAATTGTATTGCTGCATGTAGGAGTACATTAGCAACAGCTCTGTCCCTATTGCTTTTCCTGCATTGCGAAGATAAGTCCTCTTTGACTATGCAGCAGGCTTGCTGCACTAGCATCGTGAGCCACATAATCGAAGCAATCAACATGTAAGCTGTGAATGACTACTTTTGGTAGGACAAAGACCATCACAGAAACAAATGTTTCAATTATTTCTAAGCAAGACAAGTTCTCTCATCATAATGTATGTCTTCAGCGACATGTCTTGTTCTACCACAGTTAATCACTTCAAGGATGCATGTTCCTGTAAATCTTTGTACCGTATAGGGGGCATGCACTGAGCCTTGATCTGCAAGGGGGCAACACCATTGCCACGCCATTTCAATGGTCCATTCGTACTCGCCGTCCTGCTGTCTACGCTTCGGCATGCAGGAGGTGTTTTGGATATCTCTAAACAAGTTGCCGTACGGATCTTGGACACAGCGCACACAGCGAGATAGATGTTTGTGCGTTTGACGAGTGCGCGGACCGCCAAAATGGCGGTCTCGACGCTAGGGATCTTCGCCGATGATGTCAGGTGCATACACCCTATATGGCATACCAATTAGTGCACATGAGTGTGTTCATTTCTTATTCTCACAGTGGGGAAAAAGCTATTAGAAAATAAATATATTTCATCAACATAAAACAAGCAAATGCACTGTTAACTCATTTTAGACTTCTCAACCTTTCTTCGTTTCAGTTGCTCAACGAGAAACTTGAACCTGAGCATACACTCCTCCTTGGACTTGCCGGGAACAGCCTCGGCTATACGGTCCCAGCGATCTTCGGTTCCCTTTGGGAACATCTGAAGCGCAGCTTCCATGCACTTCTGCTGTTCTTGGCTCCAGTCGGCGACCCTTTGAGCAAGCGGTGGCACAGCCCTAGGCTGGTTTTCGGCAAGCGTCGGCGGAGGCAGACTAGGCTTGCCTTCCGGGCGCGCCGCGTTTTCGTCTAAACTGTGGTAGTCTTCTCCCGTAACTCCCTGGGAGTGTGGCACAACGTTGGCGACGGGAAAGTTCCGGAGCTGCTTCATTACCGACATGACTTCGTCCTGGCTGCGGTTCAACAGGTCCGCGATCTTCTGCCACCGGTCCACGGTGCCGGTTGGGTACTTCTTCATGGCTCTGATAAGGGCCACGGTGTCTTCCTCGCCCCAGGGTGTCTTGCGAACGGCGCCTCGGTCGTTGCTTCGGACCTCGGGAACCGTCGCGCAGGTGTCGAGCGCCGGAATCGCGGGGCCCGCCGCGAGAGGCAACTCGCCGGCCTCGGGTATAACTCGCGCCCGTCTCCGAGGCTTGCGCTCCCGCTCCGATGCCTCGTCGCACGACTCCTCGTCGCTCGTTCTCTCTTCCTCGAGCGTGGCTCGGCTGCGGCGTTCCTGGATTTTCTCGAAACCCTGCCGCACAAGTGTAGGCGAGTTCCACACGGCCCAGCCGAGAAACACAATGAAACGCACTATAAGAAGGTCCAGGTAACTCGGCTTGCCAAGACTATCGATGTACGAGGCACGAATCTCGTCCTCGACGGCCGTTAGCTTCTTCGACTTGCGCTCTTTGCGCTTGAACTTGGCCAGCACGGTCTCTTCCAGCTCGAACTTTCGCTCCCAGTAGGCAGCCCACGCCACAACGTGCTGCCCCAGCGTGAGCAGCACAACGAGGAAGAATGAGAGCTCGGCGATACCCATCTTGCGCACTCGCCTGTAATAGTACACGGGCTGCCTCCAGTCAGGCAGGCCATTTTCCAGCACCGCGTCGTACTTTTTCCTCTTCTCTTCATCCTTCAGTATCTCTACGACGGCGACGATCTTACGGAACTTCTCTTCCGATCCTTCCTCCTTGTTCTTGTCAGGGTGGAACTGAAGGGACAGTTTCCTGTACGCCTTCTTGATTCCCGCTGTGTCCACGTCTGGGGACAGACCGAGGAATGTGTAGAAGTTCTCGTTCACGTCTTCGACAACGTCGAAGAGCTCAAGGTCCTCCTGGGTCCACGCAGATGCACCATCGCACAGCAGGAACGCCGTGATCGCGAAGCAATAGAGTATTTTCGAACCGAAAGGGCCTACCGGTACGAGACATGACTGCGTCGTCAACATTACAACATGACATCTTGGTCATGATGATGATAATTAAAAACCTTGTTAACAGGTTAAAAAATTAACTGCAATCACACAGGCGTTCTTGTTCTTAATTACAGTTACGATCATTAAAATACTTACTTAATGTCGGAAACGTTCAGAAATCGGATTTTTTTTTTTTACACAATACGGCTATTTAATGTAAATCCGGCCGATCCAAGACACGCTTTGATCTGCACTAGCAGAAGGGCTGGTCGACCTCCACAAACTCGTCCGGGAACGGCTGCCTAGCTGCGTAGACCGAGCAGGTTACACGTGTGTAGCGTTCATATAAGCTGAACATGGCTGCAAGCATGCTGCGGTTCACGATGTGCCGAGGTAATAAACGTCTGACTTAAGCTATCTCAAGTGTGGCGAGCAAGCGCGCATCTACGCTGCCATCAGCCGCGCTTCGGGAAGCAGCCGTTTCACGTTGCGCCTGTACTCGCCGGCATGACCGGATTACATACTCCCTCTTTCCCTATGCACAGGTACATCTCTCGGTACTTTTCAAGCACGAGCCTTCTTTTCGACCGTGGCGAAGAAGCAGCTGCCCATGGTTTCGTCGACGCCTCAGCAACTGGCCCTGTATAAGCCTCAGGTCACGACGGTTCGGCTGGCTTCCGCAGACAGTAAGCGCCGTGATGCCATTATCTTCGCGCACATTTAATTGCCTCATTCTACCACGCAGCGAACTACGTAAAGATCTGGAAGGCGGAGCGTATCCTCGCCGTGTCTATGATCGCTATCGTTCCTGGAGCGTTTATGTTCCCCAGTCCAGTGATGGATTGCCTGCTCGCAATATCTACCACCATGCACATGCACTGGTACGTAATACTTATTGCCTACGCCGTATGCCGTCCTATCGCCGGCCAGTTGTGTTATGCGTTTAATTATGGCGCCAGTTACCGAGCGTATGAATCGTGTGGTCTTCCGTTAAGCCGAAACATAACGAACTTGCAACAGCTTTATGGCTTGTTAACTTCTATCTGGTAATCAGAAATCTTGAAGTGCTACACATATCAGAAATCAGAAGTGCTGCACATATGTACACATGCAATTTAAACTACCTTGGTACACATGAAGGAGCTTCAGCTGTCAAGACTGTTTACATAAATTATTGAGAAACTAAGAATTGCCTATATGGCTCTCAGCGACAACTTAAGACCAGTGAGATACAGCCAACTATGTATGTCCTCTTCATAGGATATAAAGCTTAGAATGACAGAGCTGAGCTAGTTGCAGATTATGAAAAGACAGGGCGTGTAAACAAGGACACAAGAGGAAGTCGCGGCACCACAAATGCCTACTAACAACTGATGGTGTGCACAACAGCGTAGAAGAAAGAACGACACGAAAACTTATCTGTGCACTCCCATGCAATATGTGAAACTACGAATCTGGCACACATAGGTGCCTACGTCTTTATGCAAGTTATCAACGGTTGGCAGCCGCATGTGCTACCACTATTATCGATATGCCATGGCTCAATCATTAGACTTGTTTCTTTGTTCATACGCCGGTAGAATACTGCGCATTTGTTGAACATTGGCATGCACATGCAGTCTCGACAATGTACAGATTAGAAGGTGAGCCTCCGGTTAGCAATCTACACTTGTACGGCAGTCAGTGAATTTATTGGTGCTTTTTATAAAAGATATTGGTCAGCTTCTCGTCTTTAACTTGCTTATTATTTCTCTGCACTGTGGCACAAATCTTACCTCAGCTTATTGGCAGCCGTAAAAACAACATTAACGCTTTCTACCTTCTTCAGCCTCTTTCTTCCTATCGCTTTCTGCATCCACGCTCAGACTTGACATAACAGACTTGTTTAAAGGCTCAGCGGCAGTGGCCTTATAGTATGTAAGGATATCCTTATAGTACCTTAGCTAAAATAGGGAGATAATATTTGAACTAACAACAATAAGCTTTAATTTTCAGGATAATCCTAGCGTATATATTAACAGAGCACAGAGATTTAGGCCGAGATCAAACTCCAGTGGATCCACTCCTGCGCCAAATAGGATTTACAGTGCCATACTAAAAAAAATTAACGTAATTTGCACCAAGGCGTGCTAGAGTCTCAAGTTTGATGGTGTCTATCACTGGCTATTGCACCAAATATGATTTACAGTGCTATACCAAAATGAAAGTAATGTAAGTTGCGCAGAAGTGTGCTAGAGTCTGAAGTTTGATGGTGTCTATCACTGGCTATTGCACTGCTGGCACATCAAAACATGAGAAGCTTGACCTTGAGGCCACTAAGGTTACAGTCACAGATGAAGGATTATTCCGCAGGCAAAAAATGCTCGCACGTGGATCCTGATAGAGCCACGTCACTGTCTTTGGTGCCGATGCAGCTTCGTTTGTGGTGAAAAGAGAAACTCCAACCAAAATTTGTTTTAAACCTGATGTTTCAAAGCTTCACCGGCTTCTTCAGGAGTGAGACGGCCTGAGACTCTCCAACCAACATTTATTTTAAACCCAACGTTTTAGAGCCTGACCGTCTTTCTTTTAAGGGGGCAGACTGTTCTTAGACATCTTTTGTTTAATTTTTCAGTGATCTTGATCAAACTGCACAGGACTGTGCAGTTTTTTTCTGCTGGTTTCAAATATTTAATTAGTTTTCCTATAACTCATCTTGTTCTGAGATAACTTAAGTTCACCCCCTATTGTTTAAGGCCACCATAGAAAAAAATGCATAATTAAAAGTGATATTCAAGATATGCCAACATTGACTAATGACTATAGAGTGAAAGTATGCAAGAGCTTTTTGTTTTTAGGCTTTTCTTGGTTATTTTACAGCAAAATGAACTATCCCATTACAAGAGCAGTTAGAATTGTATTACAATTTTGATGAGTAAAAAATTAAAAAAGCTTTTGCTTTAAATTCTGCTCCTATACTTGCATTTTACACACATACAGGTTTTCATTGCAAAAAGAATCATTGTTGTACCGGCCCTAGCTGCAGAGATATTGAGGCCTCAAAATTTAACAGTCATAAATTTACATTTTGAGAAAAATGGAAAAAAAACTGAAAATGCACAGCTTCTTCAAAAAGAACAATCATGGTGCGCATGTTTTGCAATCCTCATAAAGGTGCTCATAAATTCGTAGCAGAGCTTCTAACACAGGTGCCGGCCAATTATAAAGAAGCCTCGAAGTCTGTTCCCTATTTTTTTTGCGTTCTGCATGTTAACAGCACCAAGAATCTGGACAGTTAGAATGACATTACAAAAAAATTACCACTTCTTGGTGTGTGAAAATTTAAAGAGATAGAAAAATACTTGTAGATACCAAATATGTCAATTTTGAAAAAATGAATTTTTTGTCACTTTTTGGTCTTAAGGACCAGTATGCCCCCTTAAGGAATGAGAGGCCTTCTCACACTTAAGCCAGTTAAGCTTCTAAATGTTCGATATAAAATAAATTTTGATAAGAGTCTTCTTTTTTCTCCAGTTTTCTATCCCAACTAGGCAGACTTTTGCCGAATGTTCACCTCTGATTTACCTTCTCTTTTGCTAGTCAGCTTGATGGCAAAATGCGCTCTTCAAAAAGACTTAACCTAGAGGCCAACAGGTGGCAATCAAGTGTGGTGGTGATTCATTGGCTGACATGGTCTGCTCCAGAAACGCTGCTGGTAGCTTGTTTCAAGCACTGCACAGTATATAATTAGTAAGCAAGTATGGAATTATCAATCAGAAGTACGAATACTTTTGAAAGAGAACAAAAATAGGCTCATTTTCGCCTTCAGAGAATGAAGGAACTGTGAGAATTTTAGAATTGAGGCAAAGGCGTCTGCAAGGGGGTTTGGAGGTGCACTTGTCTACCCCACACCCCCAGGCCCATCAGCATTTGCACCTCAACCCTATTGGCCCCCCATCAAGACTGAGTCCTGTCGATGCCCATGCATAGAAGCACTGTTGCATGCCGCAGCTTTTGTCTATCACTTCTGCTGATCTACAGTGCAGCAGTCTATTAACACAGTCCAGTGGTTCTCAAATGGTGGTCCGCGGGCAAAGCCATTTCTATGATTCGCGGAACCCTCACCTGCATTTTTCTTTAAGCGTGACTGTGCCATATATTGATGAACTGTCCAAAATAAAGTGATGTGGCATGTTTGTTTGATGTTTTTGGTAGCAAGCAATAAAAGACACCTGTTTCATGCTCTAGTTGTGTTAATTTACCTACGTACCCTCCCTCCCTCCCCTCCACTGCAAAGGGTTCCCCATCACTTCCACCAGTCCACAAGGGGTCCCCGACACATCCATGGCTGAGAACCACTGATATAGTCTATATATTTGTGGCAGGTTCGAGCTCTGTATTTCAATTACAACATAGTTGTATTTAAAGTGTTATATCGTAATATACAACCAGTATTCTGTTTGTACAAAAAAAAAAAGATAGCTGAGGAGCTTATTCCAAATGTCCAATTGCATGATGTCATTGTTTTTGCATAATTGTGTGACATAATAAGTGCTCTGGAAGGCATTCTCTCTATGAAAATTTCAACGAGTAAAAATGATTTTGCAGCTCACCATGTGAGCTTATAATAATTAATTGGAAGTCTATATGTTAACGCAACTTGCTTCTTCAAAGTACTTCAGAATGTAAAGTTAGCTGCTTCAGGGTGCTCACAGATGCAAAATTTCGTGCTACAAAGTGGCCCAAATCCAGATTTTGTTGCTCCTAAAATTGCTTCAAATCAGAATTGCTTGGCAGCATCACTAGGCATCCAGCTTGTGCCAAATTTTTAGATTTTTGCAGAGTATAGACCAGTGGTTTTCAGCCGTGCATGTTTCAAGGACCCTTTGTGGACAGGGGGTCACAGATTACTGCAGCATGCAATGTGCAATGAATGCCTCTTGCTTCTCCCTTGCAAAGAATGGTTAAAACAGAGTGCAATGCTATGTAATCTCAACAGCTTGTCAATTTCATCGTCAGCAGCCACATTCAAGCTGTTCCTAGTTATGTTCTCTCTTCAAATATGCTGGTCTGGAAAAAGCATTTCGTAGAACAACACATCAGAAGCTTTGCAGCAATTTCATGGAGAAAAGAAACATCAGCTCCGCTGCGATGCAACCTTGTTATACGGTGAAGCATGCCAATATTAAGAAGGGGCCATTGTCATTGAACATTGTGTGCTTCTTAAGAACACCATATTTTGTTTATTTTATTTAGGATAGGTTTGGCGGACCCCCTTTTGAGAAGCATTGGTATAGACATTCGAACTGCTTGCAAGGCACTTTTTTTTTCTATTGTCTAACCAAGGTGCATTATACGCCTTTCAGGGGAATCGAAACAATCGTGGTGGACTATGTTCGACCTGCTCTGTTCGGCAACTTGATCCCCAAGGTTGCAGTTGGAGCCGTTTACGCGCTCTCCATTGCTGCACTCACGGGTCTTTTTTACTTCAACTTCACGGATGTGGGTATTGTCAAAGCCATTCAGATGCTCTGGACCGTGTGATCAACTAACTAGGCACGAACAGCATGCAGTTTTTTTTTCTGACAAATAAATGCAGTCGAGATGTTCAGCGATGTCTTGTTTCGACTAATGCATTAGTTACATCAACCGAATGCTTAAGAATGTTTTTATTTTGCTTAGTTGTATATATGGTTAAGAGCTGTGCTTTGGCTGCTGAAATAAATTTGAACACTGATACTTGGAAGGTAACAAGTGTGACCAGTCGTCTTCCTTATATGGATCACTGCTGTGTCAGCCTACAATACAGTTATTCAGAGCCTTTGGCCAAACCGCACCATTGGCGCTTCGGGCAACCTCACGCAATGTGTATTCAAAAGATGATAGAATTTGGCCGTAAGAGTAATGTGAAATTTCATCAAGCCATTGAAGACATTTTGTGGTATCGCAATAGATGTTCACCCATTTCAAAGTGTGATAAACTGAGCATGTGGCCTTTCATTCCACACCAAGTAGAAGCGCACCTACACTTGTTTTAAAGCATGCAGAGGAACATAGCTTCCTTTCTCATATCATTGTCAGGTGGAAACTGCCCATGCACTCATTTAGTTATAGAAAAATACAGAGGCCTGTAAATTTGCAGTTAGTATTGAATTTCAGTAATTGACTTGGCAACTGAAACACTTTTGCTACATAATGAAGTGCTCATAAAAAGTTTCCACAAAACTCTTCGAAGATCATAACAGTAATTTTTGCAGGAATCTCAATAAATATGTTTTTCAAGCTTACATGCTCAGGATTTAACATTTGTTTTGCCTGCATTATCATTAAAATGTAAACGTCAGCAGAAGTATACTTGAATCTACTGTGCAATGATCGTTGCCGTTATTAAGAGCAGTATTCGAGCAATGTTGCGAGACACCTTTATTTGCAATCAGTGGAGGTCATTCCAAGGTTGCCATTTCGTCTGGTTTGTTACCACTTGCACATAAATGAAAGATATGTGGATTAACTCTCTCGTTACCACGCTTATTCAAATCGATCACCGATGCTTCATACTTTTGGGTCGTCTATTTTGGCATGTTAAATTTGTTTCTCTTGTACCCACAACTTTCTAGTAGTGTTAGTCCAGCCACTCAACTTTCAGAAACAATTTGAATTTGCCCATTTTGGCAACATTGCGATTTTTGACAGACCTTTGCACGAACCAATGTGCGTGTACTGTTAAAAAAGTGCACTAGGCTGGCAAACTTAATGGAAGTGCATGCCTCTCGTGATTATGCTACAGTAATATCGAAGTTCTGAAATGAAAAGAACCTTTGCAAGCCAAATATCAAAGTGTCAGCTTTGCAATTTGACTATGTTGAGCAGTAATAATTGCCAGAAATTCATGCCAGCTATTGAATAGACAGCTCTTCTAAGGAGTCGGGGGAAATTTGGTTTACAAAGAATATTTACAAAGGTCCACCGGGTTTTTAAAGTGCCAAGGTGGCCTTCCCTGCCAGTTTCCAGCAGCTTTGGTTTTGCTTGTGTCATTATATCAGACACAGGATCTCGTCTTGTGTCACTAGTCGCTCCTATGACGTCGTCGTCACACACGCATGGGTGCGCACTAGCGCTGCAAAACATATGCGCTGCTCGAAACTGTCTTGAAACCCCATCGGAGTTGAGTGATGACGAGCTTAGAGTTCGAGGATGACAGCACCTCAGCTTCAAGTTTTGTGGCAACAATGTTTTGCGTCAGCCTGAAACATCCGCAGCCATTCATGGCTTCGTTTTGTTTGCATCCTCAAGTCGTCTTCTCTGCCGCGAATGCGTATAGCCTCTGACATTTTGTGCACATTCTTACAGCTACCGTGGTTACGTGCGAGATCCACACGTCGCTGCGGTGCGGCATGGTGGCACCAGGTGTAGAGCTTTTCGTCACGACAAGGTCACTAGAACACATCTTGGCCCTAATTACAGCACAGCACAAAACATTTTAGGACTGTGTGCGATATTGTTCTGTTCTTATTTACGATGTGCAAAAATGCAAAAGAAATATGCTTGGAGGCATATCATCATCATCATCATCATTAGCCTGACTATGTTCACTGCAGAACAAAGGCCTCTTCCATGTTCCGCCAGTTAACCCGGTCCTGTGCTTGCTGCTGCCAATTTATACCCGCAAACTTCTTAATCTCATCTGCCCACCTAACCTTCCGTCTCCCCCTAACCCGCTTCCCTTCTCTGGGAATCCAGTTAGTTACCCTTAATGACCAGCGGTTATCCTGTCTACGCACTACATGCCCGGCCCATGTGCATCTTCTCTTCATTTCAACTATGATATCCTTAACCCCCGTTTGTCCCCTAATCCACTCTGCTCTCTTCTCGTCTCTTAAGGTTACACCTACCATTTTTCTTACCATTGCTCGCTGCGTCGACCTCAATTTAAGCTGAACCCTTTTTGTAAGTCTCCAGGTTTCTGCTCCGTAGCTAAGTACCGGCAAGATACAGCGGTTATATACCTTCCTCTTGAGGGATAGTGGCAATCTACCTGTCATAATTTGAGAGTGTTTGCCAAATGTGCTCCACCCCATTCTTATTCTAGTTACTTCAATCTCGTGGTTAGGCTCTGCGGTTATTACCTGCCCTAAGTAGACATAGTCTTTTACAACTTGAAGTGCACTATTACCTATCTCGAAGCGCTGCTCTTTTCCGAGGTTGTTGTACATTACTTTCGTTTTCTGCAGATTAATTTTAAGACCTACCTTTCTGCTCTCCTTGTCTAACTCCGTAATCATGAGTTGCAATTCATCCCCCGAGTTACTCAGCAATGCAATGTCATCAGCGAAGCGCAGGTTACTAAGGTATTCTCCATTAACTCTTATCCCTAACTGTTTCCATTCTAGGCTTTTGAAAACCTCCTGTAAGCACGCAATAAATAGCATCGGGGAGATTGTGTCCCCCTGCCTTATATCCTTCTTGATTGGTATTCTGTTGCTTTCTTTATGAAGCACTATGGTAGCAGTTGATCCTCTGTAAATTTCTTCCAGAATGTTTATATATACTTCATCTACGCCCCGATTCCGCAGTGTCTGCATGATGGCTGATATTTCTACTGAATCAAAGGCCTTCTCGTAATCTATGAAGGCTATGTATAGTGGTTGGTTATACTCTGAGCATTTCTCTATTACCTCATTGATAGTATGAATGTGGTCAATTGTTGAGTAGCCTGTTCGAAATCCTACTTGTTCCTTTGGTTGATTGAATTCTAATGTTTTCTTTACTCTGTTGGCAATTACCTTTGTAAATAGCTCATATACTACAGAGAGCAAGCTGATCGGCCTGTAGTTCTTCAAGTCCTTGTCATCTCCTTTCTTATGTATTAAGATAATGTGGAGGCATATATTGGAATACAAACCTACGCAGAGTGAGGTGGCTCATGGAAAGAGGTGACGCTAGGCGAAATGGCGAAGTTCATTGGACATCTCATTTATAGAGGGATTATTCACATCACGGGTATCCATATATATCGGAATACCTGGAGACATTTATCGCAAGACAACAAAATTTACTGAGAAAAGTGTACGAGTTTACTTGTGTCTTACGAAAAACCATGCAATGCTTCACCGCATGGCACGAGCAACAAAGCAGCACCTCGGTTCAGATTTTTTTGTCTATGGAAAGAGAAACATTTTGTAAAACATTCATTATTTTTCATACTGTTGTTGGGTAAATTATCTACAAAATGTATATTCTGAAGTTTGTTTGGTATATGTATGCATATATAATGTTTTTTTATTAGACTGTTTGCCAGCTCGCAACGAAAAATTCCACACTTTTCACATTTTCATTCTGTCTAAAATATTCTTGTTGTTCTACAACATATATTATTTTAAAAAAGCATTTCATTGTGCGAAGTTTGGTATGCTGCAATGCGTGCTGCAGTACTTTTGAAACTCGCAAAACGGCCTTACCGAGGTATATGAAAAACAACCATTTTCGCGCGGCAGCAAAAGAGTTAAGGGTGATGATGCATGAACTTTTTCAAACGCACTAATAGTGACCCACACCATACACACACGTAGCTTTTAAAGGCCCTTCTGAACTGTACACCTTTATCATAAATTAGGAATACCAGACATTTACAGGTCCAGAGGCAGTAACATTAAAGGGACAATAAAGGCAAATAAAAATTTACATCAAAGTGCAAGATCAATGTTGAAGAACATTCTGTGCACTTAAAAAAAAGACCTCACGTGCATTACAAAATGCAATAAAATGCTGCATGTCATCTTGTTTGATTCGTGGAAAAAAGAACGGCTTGGTGTTGCCATGCATGGGGAATGGCATGAGTGTTAAGAAAGTTCCGTTTTAGCCGAACTCCGCTTCGCTCACATGGTCGCAATTCAGTGGCAGTGTCGGTATTGCATACTGCTGTGTGTGCTTTACACGGGTGGCGTGAGTGTTCAGAAAGTTCCATTTTAGCCGAACTCCACTTCGCTCACGTGGTCGCATTTCAGTGGCAGTTTCGGTATTGCATAATGCTGTGTGTGCTTACACGGATGTTTAGAAAGTTCCGTTTTAGCCGAACTCCGCTTCACTCACGTGGTCGCATTAAGTGGCAGTTGCGGTATTGCATACTGCTGTGTGTGCTTTACACGGATGGCATGAGTGTTTAGAAAGTTCCGTTTCAGCCGAACTCCGCTTCGTTTATGTGGTCGCATTTCAGTGGCAGTTTCAGTATTGCATACTGCTATGTGTGTTTTACACCCTCGCAAAACAACAAAATGCCATGTGCATATAATGTTGCTCTTGCATTTTCGCGTCTTGCATTTTCGTGTGGAGAATTACGAGGTCAACTGCAACCTGGGCAAGGCTTGCAATGGGCCCTCTCGAGCAGTACTTTTCTGCTACTTATGTAGGACAGCAGCACAGTAGAGGAGGCAATGTTTGGGCAAAAGAACTGCTACGTCAAAAGGCCCATTCAGGCGGGTGGTTTGAAGTGTGCTAATGCCGTGCAGACAACTAAAACGGGGTTTTATTTTTTAAAAATAAGCATTTCTATGGCATGAAAGTAGCACCATGGGGTTCCTGGGCTGCTATTTCAACAACTCTACTTGATCTTTGCCATCAGAATCACTTCAAATTTTCTGCTGAAATCACTGGAATGCAATTTTGAAGTTGAACGTATTAGACAGAGATCTGTCTGGCTAGGTGAAAATTCATACAAATAAAACTAACTCTCCAGCCACATATAGTCCAAAGTTTCTAAAGTTAAAATTTAATAAAAACTATAAACCGACCCGATGTTTCCGGATCGATTCGGTCTCTTCTACAGGGACTTTGAGGACAATAGAGAGGGGGACACACCAGAAAAAGTTGCAGGTTTCGGAGCCAGCCTAACAGTCGCCACTGATGAAGGGACCGAATAGGTTTTGAAACGTTGGGTTATTTTATAGTTTTTAAATATAACCTTGGTATGTCAGCTTTGAAGGTATGTTCCACCTTCAAAGCTGACTAGTATTCTCAGGGAGCATGTTATAACAAGAAGGAAGGCTGGGTCACTAGCTTTGTTTTTCATTGGAGCCATAAAATGAACAGCATACAACTGTGGTGACCTTGTGCGAGAATCTCTATTGTAATTACGAGTGAAAGCAGCATTTCATTGGGTAAACTGCAACAGCATGGAAAAGTTAGAAAAATAGACTTAACTGCCTTAGTACAGTACTTCCTATAAAAAAGTAAACTTTGCTATTTGTTTTCATTTAACTTGGATTTTGAAAATTGCTGCCAACTTGAATGGACACCTCCAGCTTTCACCAAGGCCACCTGCTCATTATCTGGGCAACACCACATTGTCTTTGCCCATCTTGCTAGAAATTCTCAAAAAGAAAATGATCAATTCCCTTGCAGCTGGAATCTAATATTCCTAATATGCTCCCAGCTGGTGTAGTAACCGCCTAATTGGAGTCAAGACCACTATGGCTGATGAAAGTTTTCCAGCTATTTGTGTGTCCTGTTAAGCTGCAAAGAACATGTCAGAGGATTTTAGAACCGACCTGAAATCCACATTAAAGGCTGCTTGCTGAATAAGCATGAATATTCAGCTTTTTCTGGAGTTTCGTGGTCTCTAAAACATTTGACACTGGCTGTACATATACATACGAGTATTTTTTTAAAATTTTTTGTGTCAGTTCTGGCCACAATCTTTTTTTTTATAGCTCATGATGCATAAAATTCAAAAGGCTGCTTAGATCCAAGACATCCAATGTAGCTAGAAACCAATCCGAATTTTTTTTTTAAACAATTCAGGCATGCTCAACATTGAATGTTTGATCAGAACACAAATGTACCATCAGTCCATTTCAAATATTACTGTGTTAGCACTGAAACAAGACAAAGATAGAAACAGAATAAAGATAGAAGTGTTACTTGTCATAGCTATTCGGTGTTAAAATATGCTGATGGAAGATATTTTACACATTTGAATTGGCCTGAATGAGGATCTACAAGAATGCAGTTTAGCAAATTACTGACATATTAGTTGATTAGCTCTCAGAAATGATCAAGACGACAGTTTCAAAATGTTTTATTTTGCAGAGACTTGGCATAAGTCTTCTACAAGACCACATGCATGCACTATAGTTAGATGCATGTCAAAAAGAAGTCCCAGCAGACAACACATCTTGAGCAGAGACAATGCAGGGAAAACAAAAATCCAGTTAGTATTACGAAAGGTTTATTAATTCCAGAAATTACATCAACAGGGCACTCTGTGTCCATCTTTTGTGCAAAAAGAGAAAGACTTGGTGCTTGTACACAGTTTGTCAGAGGGTTCAACAGAGCCGGGGACGTCTCAGTGTTTAAAATAGAATCGCTATCAATTGTATCACAGAAAAAGAAGTGCTTTACATGCTCTGTACGTACAGGTCTGTGGAAGTTCAGTGGAATAAGAGGCTAAGAACACTGTCTTAGTTACTTTTATGCTGCTATATTTCCATGCACCCGTGGATATCAGAGCTCCAGACATGCCACGAATACCTTGCAAGGCTACGACAATCCTAGAAACAGTGACAGCTGGCAAGAGACTTCCTGCTTGCTTTACGTAGTAAGACAGCACTGGTTCTCGGATTGCATGTGTTACTTGCTCCTTTCAAATTAGCTGCCTTTGGCAGCTGTACAGGCAAGTAGGAAATACTTGTGCTAGAGCTTACTTCAAGCCTTACATACTCTGTCAATTAGAAACAGAGTATCTAAATGCAAGCAACATTGGAACAAGCACCTTCGCAAGGGTAGCCACCTAACAAATGCTTGCTTTCCTGAAGTTTACAAGACAGACACCTTCCGACAAGACCTTGAAAGGCTGAATAGAATGGTAGCACGTATAGACTTGGAAGCAATAAACATTGAGGGTTAGTTGGCTGATAGGCCAACCAGTCAGCATTTAGGCTGAGAAGTGCCAAACTGCACCAGTTGCATTCCTGCCTTCATCAAACTCACCAAGTCCAATCAATTTGTTGTTACATGCTAGATCGAGACTTGGATGCAGATATTCCATCAAGCTCATAGCTATACTACATAGTTAAGTCTGCTCTAAAATAATGTTCCGTTCAAAGAAAAATGGGACAATTTCCAGCCGTGCGATTCTCCCAAGATGGCTTGAAGTACTTATCTACAAGCAATTCAACCAATCTGTAATGTCAATGCTGTTCCCCTTTAGGTAAGTACTCTGCTTATTTCTCTTCACTGCCACAGTTGTGTAGCACCTATCTTTCTTCTCAGTGATTGGACCAAAACTGACAACGTGCAAGACACTAGCAGACAAACTTTTTTTGGGGTCAGCATTATGAAAGACGTAGTCAGAGACACACAGTAGACACAACGTCCACCTCTGTCCGTGTGTCTCAGCACTGCCCCACAGAAAAGTGACGGTGAACCAAGTCGCCTAAATGAATGTTATGCTACAATAAAAGTCCTTAATATAACATGCGAATAATGAACATGCATCAGGCTTTTGTCACCATTAGTACGAGTGAAATAACTGACAATGTTATCGCCCTACAAAATGCTTATCACATTGTTAGCATACTTTGTGAAGTAAACTGAAGCTGCAGTCGTACATAAATTCATGGCATCAGTAGTTTCTCAAAGTGCTGAAGAAGGCTGAACGCCAAGTTATTTTTTAACCACACTTGCTTTGATGCCTCGTTTGCAAACCCTGGATTACCACTTCCATTAAATCCGTTACATAGGCTTGTAAAACAAAATTTAGCTAGATGCAAGGATGACAGTGTCATGAATGAATCAATGCCTGATATGCACTATACCAATACGCTTGCAAAAAAATAAGTATAACAAATTTTAAACCGTATGCAGGACAATTCAATAAGGTTATAACCAACCAATGACAACTTTTAACAGGATGAAGGAGCTATGCCAGTATACACCTTGCATTATAAATGATTTCGGAAAAAGCTTGACAGTGTGTTTTTCACCTGTATTTCAAATGGACTGCTCAGCATACAAGGTCTGGTTCTGATTAAATTTTAAATTGTTCCCGAGAAATTCACTTCATACAGCCTAGGCAGTTGATGCAGATGAGCCGGTTAAATTTAGTAAAAAGCATGGGTTCACAGGATGACGACAATTATTTGGTCAGCTATGTAGATGTGGCGCATCGGTGTGGGCTTGGCTGCGTGTGACCCTCCACAAATGCATGCTAGACTGTAATGTGAATTCCCCGCAGCACTGCACAAGGTAGATTGGTGATATTGGTTGCTAGTAAGCACTTCAAGATCGTGAAACTTTTTCCAGCAAGATGCCTTATTCAGCAATGAAGCATTTAATGTTCCTAATACAAAGAAGGAGGAGGAAAGGAAGGACAGGGAGCTCAGCCAGTTCTCGCAGTGGCTGAATACCCTGTGTCCTAATACAATCTCCACTTACACTATCTCCTGTGCATCTAAAATTCTGCAGCCAATAGCTGCAACATCTTGTATACTCAAAATTTGTCATAACAGTCTGTCTTGACACTCCCACTGCTTCAGTTGATCAAGGGATACTGCTTGGTCTAGAGAGAACTCAAAAAGCTGCTCCAGCAGCAGTACAATGTAAACGAGAGCATTAAAGTTTTTGAAACCCTCTAATACATATCTCTTGAAGTCCCCTCCCTCAAGGCATTTCATCCACAAAACATCACCCACAGACACTCAACATCGGTGCAAAACATGCTAGTGGAAGACTATGATTTGCATACAGTTTTAGGTTTGTGCTTCCTTTGTCATTGTTAACATTCACTGCATCCATGACAGCTGCCAAGCATGAAACAGCACACAACCCAATCATAGGTACTGGTGGCTTATGGCAGGCTACACTTTTTCGCAAAATGGCGATGCATGTAAAATTGTGAACTGCCCATAGTGCCAACTAACTCTGCATGCATTGAGAGCCGCAAAACGTACGTAGATGTCAAGCTAATTTCACAGCCCCACACAAACCTGTTAGTGCAGCAGCTTGCTGCCAAATTCACAATGGTGTACGAAAGACTCAATGGAAAAGAGCATGCACTGAGTAAAAGCAGAGCTCAACAAATATAAGCACTGCACATGTTCGAGAGAAAGTGTGCAGAGGTCAATGTGTAACATCACATGGGCCTCTAGTTTGAGAGCCGAGCATTTCAAGTCCTTGATGCTGTGATACCGGCAGATGGAGACATTTTAACCAGCATTTTACACAATCACTCACTCTATGCTATCTTAACATTTGCTGAAGTGTGCATAAATCAGGAAAGTCACTGATAGGTACAGATACCATGAGCACAATGGGTGTTCCTTGTAAAAAGCAAAACTCGACCAGTGCTCCTGTCAGTCTATTTAGCCATGCTCTTGTAACACTATCATCATTTCAAAGCTCGAATGCAAGTATTTTCATCAAGTTTGAGCACTAGGAGAGGAGGGAAAACAAAAGCCTCGCTTTACAAGCTGTACTTGGCAAATGTCACGAATAGTATGATACACTTTTGATAGAAGTCTGCTACCACACTGGAATGAAACATCTAAAGCCTCAAAAACTAGAGGATGCATTACCTCTGCTTATTCATCAAATTGAATTTTGCGTAGGTATGAGGTTCAGTTGAACAGATTCTAAGCTTTGAATATGCCACAAGTGCTAGGTCATGGATTCACCTCGATCAGACAACCCACTTCAAATCAAGCGCGAGATGTGTTTTATAAACTTTTGTCCTCATCCACGTTTCATTCTAGCATGAGAGAACATGCACACTAACATCTACAAACTGGCTGAAACAGAGAGCATAGAAGTAGTAAGTTATCTGTGTGCAATTGACAGGCGAGCGACTACTCACGGCAGTATGCAATCCAAAAGGCACAGACTGCCTTCACCTACTTGCACTTGACTGAAAGACATCGAACTACAACTGGTTCTACACTCTGGCAGTAGAGCACCGGTGCTACAAAAACCACATGCAGAAATGTACACAAAGCCCCTAATAAAAAAATAGGCAGTTCTACTAACAGACGGTTCAGTTTTCTACTAATCGAAACTGTTGTACCACATAGCGACTCTGGAAACTGTATTGTTCAATTTTCTATAATCAAAGAACAATTTTCAAAAAACAAACACCGGCAAACTGGCAAGAGGCGTGGCGATGCCAGGCCATCGTGTCTCCTGACAATCAACTTTCTCAGCATGACACGCATGCCATGGCAGCATGATGTTATAGCTACGCAACTATGATAAGGTGGTGCAACTGCTCTGGCACTAGCATCTCCCAATTACATGTAAACCTTTGGTGTGAGAGAAAATTGCTCCCTTCACTTTGGTTGGATATAGGAGGACCGCATGACTTTACGTGAAACGATTGCCTATCACCACATATACACTTTAGAATAGCACTCAAATTAACCCTTGTTTCCTTTGTTTCACATACATTTTCTGCAATCTTTTTCTATCAATACTGTTATGTGTGACAGGCACGCATGCATGAAAGAAGCCGGAAGTCGGTACACGTATGAGTACATTATTCACACTTCCCTTGCCATCATTTTTACCCACCCCTCATTCCTAGTAGGTCTTGCGAATAGTATAACATTAAAAACTGGCAAGATTGGCTTGTATATAGCGAAAAGCAAGGATATTACGAAATTATATGGCGCAAAGAATAAGTCAAAATGTTAACACGTTCTTCCCAAAAGGTTTTGTTGTTTTTCTTTCTCACCATCTTTCTCACCATCTTTCTCACCACATTGCCACGGAACATGTATGTTGCATGCTCTGTGTCTAAGGCATCCATAATATGCTCATGTTTCTTTGATGTTTTTTTTTGTAGGTGTTCTTGCTTCACTAACTGTACTACTTACAGTGCCGTATCATCAGATGAATGGTGAGGGGGACATCATGCAGCTGTTCTTCGGTTTCTAGTCCTGCATCCTATTTCAGGAAACAGAAAAACAAAGAAAGCAACTTAAAAGAATGACATAGATAATTAAAAGAGCACAAACAGGCACACTCACAACCACGCCATAACCCACACACAGACACTTTAGATACATCCACCGAACATAGCAGCTCACTTCGAAGTGTTTCAGTGTTCGTATATAAACACACATAAGCAGCCATGTCATCGAAGCCACTATTACTGTCCTAATATAGCAGCTTCAATGATGTGGCTCAAATCACTCATAAGAAATAGAAAGAAAGCAACCACCCGTTCGTAGCATGAAGCCACAAGGAAATCCATACAAATTTCTCAGAAATGAAAGCCTCTTCCTCCACTTGCAGGTTTCCGCAGAACTCATTTGCCACACGTAAGTAACTTTCTGTGATCGGCCATCAGTTGGAAGTGAGCAGTGTGGATGGTGGATGTACCGAAAGTCTCTGCCTGGATGCAAGTGTGCTAGTTCGCACTCTTTTAATTATCTAAAATGTGTTACAAACTAGCCCAACAGCAAGTTTTTTAACAACTTGAGTGCCCAACTAGTGTGTGTTCAGCCTCCATTACCCAACCTCATTGGTCACCTTCTCCGTTTTTTCCTGCACGTTGCTGTTCCTCACGGCACCACAGCCAATGGCAAAGCGGGCATATTTACCGGCTCTGTGGCAGACTGAGTGTCGCGACATAAGAACGAGTGAATAGCCTTAACAGTACCAAACAGTGGCACTGCCTATTACTTTGAATACACTCTTGTACATGAGGACCCCGCAGACATCGCAGTTTAAAATCCAACTGCAATGTAATATTAGACCACATAATGAGCCTAATTTATGGTGCAGAAAATGAACAGTGTTCGTACAAACGTTTTTACATTTAGTATATGAAACCACCATGAAAGGCTTACACGAACAGATTTTTCCAATACCCCCACAGCACCACCCACAAAAATAACAAAAATACCAACATCACTGTTCAACAGCATGCAGTGTTAAGAACCAGCACAATAGCTTGTGCGACCTCCAATACTAGGAATGGACAGTGTAAATCTGACATGCCATGGTCTTGGAGCTCTCAACATCAACAAAGCACCAGGTGTTAGTGATGACCATATAGGGGCTACTCAAGCAACGACATTATACAGTTACAAGTCTTACGAATTTGCCACGTTTCTTACAATAGTATATGGTGCTGCTCTTTCGTAGCCAATTTCGGCAAAAGTGAAATTTCATCGCAGTTGACCTTCAATAGAATGACTAGACAAAGGTCACAGTATTACACCAAAAGAAACAAAGTATACAGCATGTTGCAAGTATGAAAGCACCTGTATAGAAAAAAGAGAAAAAAAACTAATGCATCACATCAATGTTAGAACTATAGCACGGTTGCACCGCATACAGAGACAAAAGGGAGCTTAGTTCAACAGGACTAAGCAATTTCAATTGGGAATAAGTGGACGACAAGGGGAAGAAGGCTCTAAGATACACGATTCTGCCAGACTTTGAGGTCATCTCATGAAATGGACAGATATCACCTCATCAGATGACGGCATAGAAAACTACTTCCAAGAATTACTTACAGTGCTCGTATTGGCAGTAGTAGGTAAACATTTTTTAATGAAAGCGTAACATACTATACACATCTGATTCCAACTAGAACTATGCCTAAACAATCCACCCATAAGATCGCCTGGCCATACTATAGCAAAACAAGACCTCGTATATAGTTCAGAGTAGAAAATCCGGTTTGTGTTCCTTGATTTTTATCACTTTGATGCTTTTAGGTATTCACCACATTTCTCCGTCCTTTCTTGCATACGTACGGCTCACATGGTGTAATGCTTAGTGCATAGTGTGATCACAATATGTAGAATATAAACCAGTCAATGGCCAAATTTTATGCTATATGTGCATCTCTTCAAAATAGAAACACCTTGTGCTGAGCTTGGAAACAATAAAGAAGACTTAAAAAACATTGCACTGGCCACATTGTTTATGGCAGCCTGTGGAGCACTGCAACAAAATTTCTTCAAAAACATTTTTTTCTTCTCAACACCACTTAGTTTTCCACGAATATGCACCAACTGTCAAGGCTGTGCCTACAATCTTCGCAGCCATCAGTGACAAAAATTATCAGCCTTTTACCACTACTCTTTGAGACATTCATAAAAAAATGTTCTCACTACAGTCCACCAAAACCTGCTAGTGGCAGCAGATGAAAAGTAGCACTACCACAATACAGCCCCTCAGATGCATTTCCTCCATCTACACTGCTGCTTTACTTTGGGTTATGCCATACAATAGTGACTAATTCTGCGTTTCTCTGAGCATTTAAAGGGAAAGCACGACTACACCATATTTTCTTGAGTACAACCCCTGAATAAATACAAAAAATCCTAGGATAAGATCAGCATGCATGCTTGTTATGTGCAAGTTTCTATGTGCCAGGTGACATCACAGCAATGCAGGAAAGGCATTAACGACAGCACAACTTCAAAATTATAGCAGGTAACAATGGGGGAGTGACACTATTGAATAGAACAAAGTCAAAATAAAAGGCTGGCAATTTTTGGGTATAGTTAGTAAGATCTTCTCCATAAAGATGCACAGGTAACCTACACACTGAAAATGTCCAAATAGTATGCAAGAATTTTAAAAAATTATTCTGCAAGTTGTAATTGCAGATGTGGGCTATGTGAAGGTAAGGGTAATACACAAGAAAATATAATGCTACTTTCTAACAATGATGGTTTTGTTTGCAAGTTTTTGGACAAGATTTCACACCTAGTGTTGACGTCTTATTGAAATGCTTCTCTGGCCTGTTGGTAAGTTATGTTAAACATAAGCTTGAAAGAGGGAATAATCGTACTTAAATGCAAATTGTGGAGGCACATCTTACTAAAAAAATGTTGCTCTTAACAATAAGTCAGCACTTTGTCATGCTCACTAACAAGGAATGCAGTCTAGAGCACTTGCCAAAGTTTAAGTCAAGCTGTCTGATACAAGAATTCTGTTTTAACATAACATTTTCTTCAGTTAAACTAACAAATTTAGGTTAGCACCTGCCCTGCCACCATCGTATATAAAATTTGAGTGGGTAGCGGATTATAATTTACAGTAGTAGACGCAGCCACTCTCTTCATTCTACCTACATATCGCTGATGCTAGCGTTCCTTGTTACATAACAAGCAATTCTTAGTGGCCCAGCAATCATTTTCAATCACTAGGCAGTATAATGTCTATGAGTATGTCACACTCACATCTGCAGCCACCAGCAGGAGATGGAAATCGATACCTTGGGGAAGAGAATGCAGCAAAACTGTCTAGTACTCAAGGAGCCAGACCTGCACTCTCCTCATTTGGGCGACAGAATCATAAATACAAGGGCTGCGAGAATTGCCAGAGCTGGTACAAACCTTCCAGCCCTACACCCTTCTAGAGGCACATTTCAATGCAATGAGTGGCAAGCAAGTGTTGCGATTAATTAGCCGGGGCTGTTGCCGATGACAGGAGGGTCACCTGATTCCAGCGAAGCAGCAACATTCTTGTTAAAGTAGGTGTGCAGCGCCTCCCACTGGGCATAGTGCAGCAGAATGTGTGGCCGCTTCTGACGCAGAAGATCCACCGTCTTTTGCGGTGTCCACTGGTACCTCTGAGGAAACAAAGACAACTGCATATAATAAGACACTTAAAGTTACTACTACAATATCCTCGTTCATTGCAATTGCACCGACTTTCTAGCAAAAGCCAAGGTTCGGAAGTTGCACAACCATCTCATTTCACTCTTATTTTAAAGGACACGGAAGGAAACTTTTGCCACGAGAATTTTCACCCAAATCGAAAGATTGAGTGCTCAAGCCGTTAGAGACAATCTTCATTTCAAGCAGAAAATAAAGAAGAGTAATAAATTTACCAATTTTTTACAAACTCCTGCATCTAGTAGTCATGCCGTGAACTATAGAGGAAGTGAAGTTTAGTGACGTTTTATGCACCAAAAATGGCATGGCAACAATGCTAGCTGTTGCTGGTGTCTCTCAAACCGCTCAGTCCCCATTACAGTAGCTATAGAACCTCTACCCACGGCACTGGTAGCAAACAAAGCTCCCGGCTGGGGTAAAGCCCCTAAACGGTGGGGCACACCTCAGCACCTTAGTAGAAGGGGCAGAAAGAGGTGTACATAGGAGGTGGAGAACAGGAAGAAGACAGAAAAATGCGCATCCGGCATCCACCATGGCATCTGCGACGTCGCAGCTTGTGTTGGCATGCATCTGTCGTGCGCTGACAATCCTGCAAAAATACAGCGAATTTTTCAAAAATAAAATGTGAAATAAACTGTGCTTATTGGAAAAGTTGCCTTCCAAGTAGAATTTTAGTGATTTTATCAGTTTTTCCTACTTTTGGTCAGTATGCATTTAAACCATTCTGCATACGTTTTAGAATGTACAGCATGTAGACAAGTTTGAATTGACAAAATACAAAAAAAAACTTCAAACAAGTGACTTGATTGAAAATTATGCAAATATCAGCTCCATTCTGCATTTTATAAAGCTTGCACTAACCGCGCTTGTCTACTTTCTTGATGTCTGCCTACAATATGTGGAAACAGATTGACATTTTTGTATCCCACTCATATTATGATACGACTGCCATCATCTGCAATCAAACCTGCAATCTAACCGAGTATCACAAAGCTGCGACTCTCGAGCCACACCATGGCAGTAGTCCTATGAAAAATAACAAAGGCTGCATACCGTTGCAGTGTAGCATATCAATTTTGTCATATGTATGACTGATCAAACTGCACCACTATTTATAATGTGACAGCAACACACTTGATATGGACTTGCCCAGGTTCTCATCTTTGAGCAAAAGGCCCCAACTGACCTTGATGACTGATTTTATGGGCCACTTAATCATTCAATTCTAGACTTTCTGCACAGATCAAGTCTGTTCGTGTACATCTGACACAGTTTTGCAATATGCCTAAGGTGAAACTTTCAGAGCCTTGGGAGAAAAAAAAATCAGAGTAAGTTCTAGGAAAATTAAGGCACAAAGCCTATTTCTTGCTCACCACCTCGATAGAAGATGGGTCCCAATTTCAATTATGTTGTACACAGTCTAACATACTGCTCACTACATGTTCAAAGCATGGTTCAAAGTTGGATACTGAAACTGAAAGTTTTAAAATCAAAACAAATAGTTTTTTTCTGAAGCAAAAAAAAAAATTATTTGCAAAGACTGCAGACGTGGATGACAGACCGCAATAGCCAAGAATAGAGCAATAAAACTGCCTGATGCTTGCTGGAGGAAAACTTCATGCATAAACTAAGACAGATGGATGCACATTTCCTCAAGGCTGTCAAGAAGGAAGTGGCAAGCCACAGAAACTTTTCCTCAGCACATAGGACCCCCAGGGAACAACAAAAGTACGAAACTACCAATGTTACGTATGCATTCAGCAGACTATGGCATAGGCTATGTGACACTGCATATAAATACTTTGAATATCACGGAATGACCATTCAACAGTAGTTCACTGTCAAAGTAGCCTCAATGAATGCTGCAAAAGTACAAATGTTCACGTAGCTAATGCCAACATATTGAATATGCTATCTACCACGATTTAATATAGACAATTGATTATGATGTGAACAGAATGCCCACTTGAATTTCAACAAAGAGCTACAAATGTTACTGCCAACTTTAATGAGATATGAAGTTGTGGTTAATTTTCAATACATAGCATGTAGAACAACAACTTTTTTCCTTTTTTATGTTCATTAAGGTTTACAAAGTCAGATAAGATATTTTGATTTTCTTTTTGGGAGGGGTGGGGGAGGGGATGGATTCACAGGAACAATAGATATGAGCAGATTGTTATAGAGTTTTGCAACTGAACACCTAGACTACAGAAATCTAAGGGTACCACTCGGGTCTTATCATTAACAGCAGTAAAATTAAAACTAAAAAAAAACAAGGGAGGACCAAATATATAGGTCGGCGTGCATGGAAGCACTAGAAGCAACACATTTTGATGAAACTGCCCGTCTGATTGAGCTGTTTCCAAAGCTAACACATCAAGATAAAAGTTGAGATTTTTAAAATCATACAGTGTAAAGAAAACTAGGCTATTTCCTTAGAAATTAAAAAATAGATGTGACAATAGGAAACTGGCTTGCAAAACTGATTGTAATGGGGGCTAGAACAATTTGTCTACTACAGTGATTTCTTCCCAGAAAGAGATTTTTTTTAACTGGTAGCTCTATTCATTCAGCTAATGGGAGGACAGCATCCTTTTTCTAGGCAGATGCCACAAAATTCAACCCGATTTTTTTTTTCCACAAAGACATGAGATGTTTCACTCCACTAGTGCCTTTAAGGTGTGCAAATAAGTGTAATAATTGTTGAGGTTTTATGTCCCAGCATGATATGATCATGAGGAATGCTGTGGTGGTGGGCTCCAGAAATCTCAACCACCTAGAGTTCTTTAAATGTGCACCTAAATCTGAGTTCACAGTGCTCTAGCACCTTGCCTCCCTCGAAATGTGGCCGCTGCTGCCGGCACTCGATCCCGCTACCTTTGGGTTAGCAGTCGAGCACTAAACCAGCATGGCAGATTTGTGTTAAATAAATGTGCTGTGCACAAACCTGCATCAAGTAGCAGCCGACCAGCGTTGCACTGCGTGTCCTGCCAGCCTTGCAGTGAACGTAGACAGAGTGGCCAGTGCCTTCGAAACTTTGGATGAATTGCACACCGCGTTGGAGCTTTTCCTGACAGGGTGTCTCGAAGATGTCCGTCGTACTCAACTGGAGAAACTTGACACCACATTTTTCCCACTCCTGAAAAGAACAGCAGTTTCACACACGTGTCACTGCAGCATGGCACGTATTTTTCTTACATATAACCACTCCAAGAACTCTCCACAGCAGTATTGTCCAGATTGATAAACACAACAAATGAACAGCATTTTCCTGCAGCTAAGCTACCGAGAGGTACATTACTTCAAACAGAGTGTACGAGTTAAGGTGAGGGCAGAACAAGCTCGTCTGTTTAAAAATAAAAGCTTAATTATTGTAAAAAAAAATAACATGATAGCAAGCTCAATTGATCCAGTACTGATTTCAATCAATGAATTTGATTGATGGTGGCTTCCCAGAACTCGAATTAAACATATCTGCAACTGAACTCAAGTGCACTTGCTACGGCTACGGGCGACTTCGACAGAAATTCTTAGTTTCTGACCTTGTGTACAAACTGCGAAGAAAGTGGACAGAAAAACACTCATTTCCTACTCACTTGGTATCGCGTATACCTAATGTGTGGGAGGTGTAGGTTTAACTGACAGCTTTTTTTTTCATAGTTTTATTCTTCTTTACTGTGTGTAAATTCTCCTGCAATTTGCATGGCTTTATTCCACGTCCATTTGAAGTGCTTTTGGGTCTAACAGAAGGTAAACCACCTTGGCTACCCCTTTTTTTTTTCATAAGCCATAGGTTCTTCATTAAATAAAGCACCTATGACTTATGGAAAAAAAAGGGGGGAGGGGGGGTGGCCGAGGGTGCAAGAGAAGGGAGATAGACAAAATATATTTCTCAGAAACAAATCCCTTTCTTATGTATGTGCCTCCACTCCTCATTCTGCGATGAAGTCAAGAACAAGCCTAACTCTCTGTCTTAAACAAAAAGGACCATGCACTGTGCTCAGCATCAGTTCGCATCATAGAGAATCATTAAGAACTGTAGAATAACAGGTTATATGGACCATTCTGTTTGCAAGCTAAGTATGAATCACATTACACAAATGTGAGGTGGTGTTGAAATTGCTTTCACTTTTCGGTATGTAAAGCGGACCCGTCAGACACGGTAACCATGCAGGCTCACACATTTTGGTGGGCCGAGTTCCTAGGTTACAACATAATCACACAAAAGTGATGTTAGAGCTTACTCAGATTTAAACATTGGAGAATACTGAGGCACAAATGAGGGTGTGCGTTTTGTTCACAGTCGCGTTTTGACAATGTATGCATACGTTCTTCAACATTGCGTTTTTCTTCTATTTCCAGCGACCGCGAAATAATCTGCAGCCCTTAATAGATATCCAGTGCCTCTGAACTCCGCTGTTAATTTTTTTTTTTACTTTTTCACCCCGAACTGACAAATGCAGGAGCAGTCACTCTTACGCTTTGCGCCGACCGAGGAGACGGCCAAGAGTACACTTACTTCCTTACTCGTGACCCAATATCGCAGCTCAAAGTCTTCGTTCATTGACACGACCCCTCTCACGTTCTCCTCTTCGAGCAACTGAAAGAGACAGAAAGAACACGCACGCAGTGCCAAAGGTTGCGCGAAATATGCAAATATATGTCTACAGCAATGCTCTGTTGAAGCAGGCAACACGAAGGTATCAAAATGCTGACAGGACCAGACATTCGAACTTTCCGAAAGAAGTGTGCGCGACGGCGCCGATTCACTGCAGTCCACGTGCATTGGATTTAGCAACCACTTCAACCAATCCAACGAGGTTAATACGCCGTGGTTGCGGAGAACGAGAAAAAAAAAATGCGCATAAAAGCCGTCACAACTCATACCTTCGGTGTGATGCTCCGGAAAGGCAGTGCCCCGAGAATAACGGTATCGTCGATGCGGTCGTACCACCGCCTCGTTGACACACGCTTCCATAACGACATTGTAGATTAATGAGGGATAAAAAGTAACCCTCGAAAACATTCCGTGAAATTTCATACACTCCCGGTTCGGTGCACTGGCCACAATTCCAGCGCACTGGCGTTTGGATTCGTGTAGTCTGCTTTAGGGCTTTCGCCTGTGCGAAAGGAATGGTGGGACACAAGTCACGTGACAATACTGATGTTGATGTTTTTGTTGTTTTTTTTTCGTGAAAGGTATGAAAAAATGAAAACTCTGTCACAAGCTTTCTTGGCTAATTACTCAGAGCGGGTATGTGCCAGTGTTTATAGGAAGTAAACAATGTATAAGAGGCTACAAAAGCATTCAGAAGAGCTTGTGTAAAGACTAGTTAATGCAAAGACAGCAAATAATTTTGCTGTTCCTGTGTGCTGTTTTTTTTAATTTGTGCTTTTCAATTTTGCAGTACTTTTTTTGCATCACGAAGGAATAAAGAATGCTTATTTTTTTCTTTTATGTTAATAAATTGTATATACAGGAGCATAGCCTCTAAGATTTACACTTAATACTCGCAGTGACCTCCATTAAAAAGGCTTTGTAAGATGCGCGAGAGGCAAGGTCACTCGTCACAATAAACAGCAATCATTAATAATAACTGCGCAAGAAAATTATGAGTAGTATATTGTTTATTACTACAATTATTTTGGCTTGTGTGGACTCCGAGATGTCGAACAACGCATGGCCAATTTATTAAACGGCAGATGACGCGTCGTGCGCTTTCACTTTCAGACTGCTGTACATCATGGCGCTCAGGGTGCTCGTCGGCTGCAAGCGTGTGATTGATTATGCGGTCAAAGTATGTATCTGCTCTTATTCATGTCCCGCTTACATTAACATCTGCGCGCTAAAGCATCCGCTTGCGCCGAGACGGTCGCTGTCATTACTAGGCGCTTCTGCGCGTTTTGCAGAACTGTATATTGGGCCGCTCTAGGAGAGCTCGCTTAACGAAGTTTCTAATTTTAATCATTCTTAACGTGTTTGTTCAAACGTGGCCTGGATAAACCTTACGCGCGTAGCTGACCTTACCACGCGTCCACACATGCGCGCCTACAAAATCCACGTGACGTAATAAGTTTGAACGGATAAGATCCACGGAAAAAGAGTGTGCGGCATACTTGATCGCTAGCCGATATGCCTCGCGGCCTGTATAGGTACATGCCCTTCAGATTCGACTTTTTCCGCTTGCAGATTTGATGCCTACGTGGTCCCTTGCATTAAATGACGCCCGTCTCGCTTTTCTGTTGCACATACACTTGTCAATCGAACAAGGTCTACTGGGCCTTTTAACGATAAATATGGGAACAGGAGCGCTCAACTTAAGAGAATGATGTGTGCAGTTTTGTTTGCGAACTAGAAACCTTTGAGAACATGAATTATACCTGAAGTAATGTTTATGTTCATGTCGGCGCCCAAAGCCTCTGAACAAAGCCGGCCACTATTTTAAACAGGATACGTTTGCTGACAGCATGACGATCGCACGTAAGGCAGCAAAATGTTGTACTAACACGTTCATTGCCGGCAGTAGGTACAAACAGGATCCAGCGGCCGGGGTACAAATTTCGTTCGGCGAATATTTGCGTATCCGTTTAACCTACTTGCGTATTTTTTTTCCTTATATAAATTGAGACCTCATAATTACTCGTATTGGTTTGTCTTGAAATGAAAATTGCCCGTTGCTGCTCTCGACATAACTGGTAGGCTGAATTCTAGATAAAGTATTGTGTGTTTAAGTGATACGCAGAAACTGGCCTTCGCGTGTAGACGTACCAGTATGGTTACAAATTGCCTTGAAGGAACTGAAAAGGCAGTTTTTGTGATAGATTTTTTTTTCTCATAGCGGAAAGGTTTCCAGTAAGAGTGTTAGATCACACAACTGTAAGGCGAAAACACTGTGGAACATTTTTTATCATATGTTTTATCTCCAGTGAATATGGAAGTTCTACACTGAAGGCAAATAGGCTAGTGCGATAATGGTTGTATACTAGCATATGTAGAAAACAGATGACAATATAAGGCTATGAAAAAGTTCAAGTTAGCTGTCCTGTTCGTTTTTTGTTTTCAATATGGACTACATAACTGCAATGAAACACCACAGCTTGCTGTACGAGTACCTGCTCCAAATAAACCCCAGTGCCATGCAGTGAGGGACAGAATGGAAAAAGCATAGCCCCACAGTCCAGAAGGAACTGACAGTATGAATTGGCAAATGTACGTGGCTAGCACTTCGTTTAAAATTTAAGAGAAAGATGGGCAGGACAGCAATTATTCGTGGTACGTCAGTGGCAGATAAGGTGACTAAAGTGACTTCCATGCACCTTGTCTTGAACGAGTGGATACAGTAACATGATCTGATATTTGTTGGCATAGACCAGAGACTGGCTGATACATTATAACAGTTGTGGGGAATCTTGCAGAGACCTTTTGTCTAAAGGTTTCAAGTTTGTAGATAGAGATGGTAACATCTGCTGCTCGTCTGTACAGATACGTGTCAAGCCCGACAAAACAGGAGTGGTGACTGAGGGTGTCAAGCACAGCTTAAATCCTTTTGACGAGATTGCCGTAGAGGAAGCAGTACGATTGAAGGAGAAGAAAGTAGCTGGCGAGATAATCGCTGTGTCATGTGGGCCTGCTTCATGTCAGGTAAAGTGCTGCTTCTTTCTTGGAATTTAATTAGGTTTAGTGCTATAGCACTGTGCACATGCTAATGCCTTGTTTTGCTGTGTTCTGTTCATATTACATTACTCTCGCAGGAAAATTAAACTAAAGAACGAAACGAAAGTTGGTTGAAGCTTGATTACTTGCAATTGTGGCCTATGCTTTCCCTGCGATCAGGCACTAAATTGCTGTCTAGCCTCCAAGCAGAGCACCTGTGAAATGATTAGTGCACTGGAGGGGGTTAAGTGTTATAAGATTTGGTCGTTTGGTCCAAATTTATTGCAACTTCTCTTTCTCCTTAATTTATACTTTTTCTTGCTCCCTCCAGGAATTGTAGGCTTTCTGTAATTTATTTCAAGTAACATGTTGCGTTACTGATAATGGCCTCAATTATGTAGCATGTTCATCATATTTTTAAATTTATTTTTCTACTCAAAATTTTAAAGTTAGCTTTCTCCTAAGTACCTTTTTTTTTTCATTTTTAGCATTAATACATTTTTTTTGTTCTCTAGGAAACACTGAGGACAGCGTTAGCCATGGGTGCGGACAAAGCCATTCATGTGGAAGTAGAAGGCAAGGAGTACGAGACATTGCAGCCTCTGCATGTTTCCAAAATATTGGCCAAACTGGCAGCTGACAACAAGGTGGATGTTATTATCGTAGGGAAACAGGTGAGAATTGGCTGGTTTCTTCCTCGCAGATTTTTTTTGTTTTCCCAATAGAGGAATGCATCTTGACACTTGTTACCCTTTCCATCACAGGCTATCGACGATGACAGCAATCAGACAGCCCAAATGACAGCTGGAATCTTAGACTGGCCACAGGTGAGGCTGCTCATTGCGTGATGCCATAGAAAATACAGAATAAGTGCAATATTTTAGTTCATATGCCATTATCTGTAATTCAGCCTCCATTATTTGTATTTCAGTGAAGTACTACAAATCTCATATGTCCTCTCCTAGCTTTAGTGTCTTTAAAAAAGCTCATTTTGTTCCTCCGACTTAGCACTCAAAGCACTCAAAACTGCAAACTGTGTTCGCACACGGGTTGAGGGCAATGGCTTTCATGTTATTTTCACAATAGGTGTCTCACTCCAAGTTAATTTTTTGTTGAAGCAGCTCGCACAGCACGAAGACGAAGAAAGAGCACAAAATGGGTGCTGTTGGTGATTATCGTCGACAATCCATAAATGTGCTGAAAGTGTTGCGATAGAACGGCGTTGGTCTGAACTTTAAAGTTCGAGATAATGAAAGAAGTCCAGTTCCTTGATATGAAACTAGTTTTTACCAACACATGTGTTGAAACAGCGCCTGTTTTGTGCTCCTCTTTCTTCGTCCACGTCCCATGCGAGCTGCTTCAATCAAGGATTAACGCCCACCAACTTGCTCGCAAAGTTTCTATTCTTATGCAGTCTCCAGGAGCCTTTCTTTGATGTACGTTGCTTCTTCCTTCATGGCTGCTTTTAGGCTACTTTTGCTTCCAAGATTGAGAAAGATGGCGATGGCCTCAAGGTGACCAGAGAAATCGATGGTGGCCTCGAGCATATCAAGGTGAAGCTGCCTGCCGTCATAAGCGCAGATCTCCGGCTGAATGAGCCCCGATATGCCACACTCCCCAACATCATGGTTAGTGTCATGCTTGTCATCGAACTTTGTTACTTTTTTTTTTCCCTGGTAATGTTCTATTGGCTGGCATAAGGTGAAATTTTATCATATACACTTCACCATGTCTCATTTTCAATGCCTGTAGGTTGATTACATGTGATGGTGTACTACTCACACTTACTCATGAATGCAATATGCCAGTTAAAATTTCTTAGTCACAAAATGCACGTGCACATGCACACACACACACACACATTTGGGCACTTGATATGTGTACTTCAAAACTGCATGGTGAGAAAACATGCATTGCGTTCGGCTTCCTTGACCTGTGCAATTTATCAGTCTAGTCAAATAACTGCTTTATGCAAGCTGAGTAGGAGTGCATGACAGCAGTGTTTTGAATGCGTAATGCAGCATTCTTCCACAGTGCAATATATTTTTTTTAGTGTAGAAAAATACAGCTTTAATTATAGTTGGAAGCCAACTTCAGCTTATAAGGCACAGAATACAGTGAGAGACTTACACAATGTCACAGTCCATAACTGTCATATCCAAAATGGTAATGCTTTAGAACATGTAAAAACCATGAATTTGTGACACAGTTCTAAAAAAAATAAAAGCATCAAGTTGGTGATGTATAATGTTTGAATTATTATAACAGTGCATTAAGGTAACTGCTGCCTGAAGTAGTGAACCGTCAAATGGCAAGCTTTGAATAGTTTGTGACTTATTGTTTGGTTAACCTCCTGCTTTTCCTTTGCCTCTCTCAATTCTCGTCGGTGCAGAAAGCCAAGAAGAAGCCCCTAGAGAAGAAGACACCCAAGGACCTTGGTGTGGATGTAGGTTCTCGTATTGACATTGTGAGCGTCGAGGACCCGCCAACCAGAGAAGCCGGTACCAAGGTGGAGTCTGTGGACGAGCTACTAGAGAAGTTGAAGGCCCTGGGGCGTATCTAAAGGTAGGCCTCCCACCTCAGGCTGGGCTGCTATATCTAGGTTGCCAGTGAATTGCAAGGCAAATTATTTGCTGCGAATGTGAACAGGTACCTCCTCATGAGTTGTCGTAAAATGGCCTTGTGGATTCTTTCACACATTATTTCTTTGCTTGTGTTACCGTCATTACTCAAATCTAACGCGCACCTTTTTTCCGGTTAAGCGAGTTCATAAATCGCATGCGTGTTAAAATCAAGTGCGAAAAAAAAAAAATGAATACGGTCATTCTATTGCCATCGGCATTTCCAAAACGACCACCCCCTATGTGCTTCAGCATGGCGCGTCGGCCATTTCTGTTTGTGTTTCCCATGTGCGGCACTTCGTATGTGTGCTGAGGAGTTCGTCATCTTGTAGTTCATTAGCATCGACGGCATGGAAGGGCCGACTCTAGAAACTCGACGAGTGCACCACGATGCTGCTTTTAAAAGAAAAGTCATCGCATGTGCCGAAACAGACAGAAATCGGGCCGCACCGCGGTCGTTCGGAGTTCCCGAAACGTGCGTGTGGGACTGGCGGAAACAAAAGCAGAATATTGTCGACAGCAAAGATTCACGCAAACGCTTCAGCGGACCACAATAGGGTTGGTTTCCGCAAATTGAAGAGCTGCTCGGTGAGTATGTGCTTGAGCAGCGAGCGGCACAGCGGCCCGTGACGACAGAACTGCTCCAAGTGCGGGCTATGCAGTTAGCTTTAGAAAAAGGGCTAACGCGGAGCCAATTCAAAGTGAGCCGGTGCTGGCTAACTAACTTTATGAAGAGGAAAGGCTTTTCCCTCCGAAAGCAAACGGGCATGCGCCAAAACTTGCCGGAGGAGTACGAAGAAAGCTTCACAGTTTTCAGAGGTTCGTCCTAAACTTGCGGCGCAACAACGGCTACCTGCTTGGGCAAATCGGGAATGCCGATCAGACACCTCTTTACTTCGACATGCCTGGCACTACAACCGTCGAGAAGAAGGGGGCGATGCAAGTTCGCATGCTGACATCGGGCCACGGTAAAACAAGAGTGACGGCAATGCTCCGTTGCACGTCAGATATGCACAAGCTTCCCCCGACCTCATATTTAAACGGAAGACGCTCCCGAAAGGAGTCGTTTTCCCGAGTAGTGTGATCATGCGGTCTAACGAGAAAAATGGGTGCGCGTTGCAATCGATGTCTTTTTTTTTTTTTCGTCGTGAAAACCGAGTGCGCGTTACAATCGAGGGCGCGGTAGAATCGAGTAAATACGGTACTCCAGTTGCCGTCATGAGTGTTTACTGCCCGTTTTGTTCTACTCAGAATCTCTGGACTCTGATGTGATTAATGATTGCTGCTTATATTATAGAGTTTGTAGCATACTAGTATAATCAACCATTTCATTAGTATGTAAGAAATAAGGATAGATGAGCATGTTAAGCAATTGTATTGAGTGGTTTATTGCCCATGCCTGACCACAAATTCTTAGAAAATAGTTGTGAAATGTCCAGCACCTGTATAGTTTCACAATGCTTCTCTGGTTGCAATAAATGTGTTGCGATGTATGGTGTGCTGGAAAACACTTTTCTGCTTTTAAATTACCAAATAGAATTCAGCTGTAATGCATATGTACATGTATTATCCTGAATAGATGACCCTCTTCTTTCACAGATGTTTGGCTCAACTTTGCGCAGCTGAATATGTCCTTGAAGTTCCAGGTGGAAGCAAAGTAGTCAACAAATTGTACACCTGTCCAGAAGTGATTAAAATAAGATATTTTTACATTCTCTCCTGCTACTTGATTCCAAGTTATGTTGCATGTCTGTAATTACTATAAAGTCTAGGCACAAACTGTGCTCAAGAGATGAAATTTCATATAGCAAAGCTCACAATTTCACTACTGAATTCTCCTTGACAATGCTTTTCACAACTGAACTGGAAAGTTATGATGTATGGTACCATTACGTGTATAACTCTAAACAGGTTACTTAAATTATCAAGGCTTCATTGGTCTACAAGTTTTAGACAACATCCAGTGCAAGCACTACTTTGCTTACTAGTGTATACAACTCCATAATTACCAAGCATTTCATTTCTGGTATTATTGCCAAAGTTTGTTCAATTTTCTATTTATGCATGCATAGGTGTCATGTTACCAGAACATTTAAACTGACTCTGCCATAGGGAAGAAATTTTAACAAGTTTGAAGTTTATAATCCACTACACTAAACGTACACCCAAATCTGAGTACACGGGCCTACAACATTTCCGCCTCCATCGGAAATGCAGCCGCCACAGCTGGGATTTGATCCCGCGACCTGAGTAGTACAATTCCTTTAAAACAAGCTTGGTTATAGTTATTTCCTGTATGGAAGAATGGCTTAACATCAATTACATATTAACTTTCTCAGCCTTACTACAATTCCGCAAATACTGTAAACAAAACGAGTTGGCATGACTATTTCATTGTCTTTCACAGTCACTTATGCTGTTTACTCCACTTCTTTTCCTCAAACTTTTGTCATCACTTACTCCCTAATGAAGACAGCGGCATCATCCATGCAAGGAATTGAGAAAGTAACTTACAGCATACAAACTCCTTTCACATAGGATTGCCTCTATGCTTGCTGGGCTGCAATGCTTGCATCTGTCCCACAAAGCGCAGTACATTACAGTGAGTGGGGCTCTGAAAAGCTGCTCTTGGTAGGCTATTAAAGACCCCAGCAAGCATTGCTATTAAGCCATGGCAGCATCATTCAAGTAGTAGTCTGCTAACGTCTGGAGAAGCCCTAATTGATGTGAAGAAAAGAGTGTCCAAGTTTGTCCCGACATACATAACTGTGAGGCTGCTTTGTCATGCGACTATGGGCCTTCTACTGTAGTCTTCACATTTCGGCACTCACGTTACACCATGTGTTGTTCCAATAAACTAAACAGATGTAAGTGATTACTAGAAAGTACCTTAATTACACAGTGGATTACCAAGTAAAAAGTGATAAATTACAAAAAGAAAAATAACTGGAAGCTACTTGTCAGATATTATATCCGAGTAGATTCACTTATGACATAATTTGCTCCTTATTTATAATATATACATTTTTTTGTGATTCACACTAATGTGCAGTCAGGGACCATGAACAAGTGACACAATGGCACTCTACACACGATGTTTGCAGAGTTCCATCATGTCCACACCAAGATTATTTGTATGGTCGTGCTAATGTGTATATGCTTAATACAGTGAAGCAATTGCACGTAAACTAACAGAATTGCACGTAACATTTAGATACTCCGCGGTCTATTGTGTTGGGCCAATGCACATGTAACTGCAAAACATTAAAAGAATAGCACTCTTGCCCAACAGTTTATGTACAGCTGCCACATAATTCAACAGTAATTTTAAAGGGATTGTGAAATGATTTTTTTTAGTTTTGTCAACATTTAAGCTAGAGTATCATAAAACCATTCGCATTACAGATTTCGCATTACATATTTCGCATTACAGATTTCGCCATGTAGTAAGGCTACTACGGATAATTATGACACCCTGCCTTGTATCCTTAACTCAGGCGACGTGCTGGCATCACTGGCGATCACAGTGCTCTCATGAGCACAGTGAACAATTTGAGCTGTGCCCCGTCACAATCTTCAAGATTGCACGCCGACAGGTTGCACACAATCTTGGAGACCACAGCCCAGTGCGCCTGGCAGCATGCACACTGTCTAGCAACAGTGACGAAGATTGCAGAGTGGTTGAAATCTACTCCAACTGGTGCCACCACTCTACCAGCTGATCTTACGCGCTTTCCACATCTATTCACATCAGCAGCCTGGGTGACGTAGCGCTTACAGTGGATGGCGTATTGTGAATGGGCGGTTAAAGACAAATTTGGCTGATCTGCAACGAACTGCAGCAATTCACAGCTTTAATTTAAAACATTGTAATAAATAACACAGTTTACGCAAACAGTTTAAATCAGTCTGCAATTGACTCTTAGGGCTTGGTCTACTGGCCGAATGAGTTTTCCCAACTTGTACAACTATCAACATGACTACTGTAAGCCCTAAACTTCTGTAACCATGACAATACAAGATCTAAAAAATTCTGCACATTGGTTTGTTCTAGGTAAACTCATAGTAGAGTGCTTGGGGTAAAATCATAAAAAGGCACTTTAATTGTCTGTAGCATGCCAAACTTCTGACGGTTGGTCAGGGCCATTCATTAAAATACGACTAATTAGCATAGCACTATTTACACTACAAATATACACACAATCAGGTAAGAATATAGGAATTGCTAGGCAGGCACAATTGGCACATGAGATTCTGCCAGTCAGTCTCACGAAGGCAGCACTAGACTACGACGACGCATGTCAAGGAATGCTGTTAGTGGCCACAGCGATGGGCCAGCTGACGGGCCCTTTGGCGATGTGTTCAGACAGGTGGCCCCTAATGATCACGAAGTGCTTCTTGAACTCCAAGCCGTCACCCTGAAAGACAGGCCTCTTGGTTAATACAGTGCAATAGATGTGGTGCTGCATGCTTTGAGTGAGCCGAGAACTTGGGCTTAATACGATTTGCAAGCAAGAAATTGCTGTTTCTGGACCCCTATATCCTTCCTTCAACTTCCCTATATTGTGCCACAGCAAATCTTATGGCTACGCACCTACTTGCCTGACATAGTATTATGTATAACCACACCTACTAAATGATAATACATACAGAAGAAAAGGCTGTCAGCTAACCAATTCCGATTATCCTGCTACAAAGCTACAAAGAAAACCCATATATATATAGTGTGTCATCATTGTATCCTTAAAGAGACACTAAAGTCAAATAACAATTAATGACAGAGTGAAAGCTCAATGTATGACAACGTTAAAACAATATTATCAACAGCACTGCCCTACTTACTGTGAAATTAAGGTAAATGCACGAGAACACATGCGCCACGCGTAGGACATTCCCAAAGTAATCTCAATGATGTGAGAGGTACTGCCTAAAATTAATCACTAGTAATTGAACTGGCTGCACTAAATAAAGCACCTTCGTGCATCAAGAGACATAATAAAATGTTGCTTGTTTGTTTCTGTTTGATTCATGGAAAAAATAACTGCCAGACGTTACTATGAGCAGTGGTGCGAGTGGTTCTAAAGCTAAATTTTCGCATGGTTAAACTTGACAGGTCGTGCCATCTAGCGGCTGAACCAAGCACGCCTGCCATCTCTGAGGACATGGCAGGAAATTGTTTAATGGCCGTTGTTGCTGCTGTGGCTCCCGCTACTTTTGTTCTGCTGCTACTAGTGTCGGCGGCTGTGCAGTAAAGCTGGGCAACGTTGCGCACGGCAACAGTGACCAGAAATGTTCTGCTTGAGGTGGGCAATTTGAAGTGCGCTAACCTGATGCGGGCCACTAAAACGAGATTTTATTTCAAAATAAGCGCTTCCTTGGCACAAAAGTAACACTACGAGGTTTATGGACCACTATTTCAACACTCAACATCGACTTAATAGTTGCCTTTAGTGCCCCTTTAAATTCAGTCGTAAAAATTTGAATTTTGTTCTTCATGTATTGATCGCACCCCAAACCTTCCATTGCAATGAGGAACGGCGCCTATTTCGAGGCCACATGTTTGCCATTTGTATGCTCAGATGTACAAGTTAGAGTAAAAAGTACCACAATATGACGCAAACTGAACCCAATAATAAAAAAAAAACAAAAACCTGCATTGCATAGCTCCAAAGTATAGCGTTTCAATCCACAAATACTGTTTTTAGATTTAGATGCACATTAAGGACATGAAGGTGGTCCAAATTAACATAGAGTTTTGGTTTCGGCATTTAAAGCTATTAACTTAGTTTGGTAGTTAAAGCTTGGAGAAAGAATGAATAAAAACGCTGCAGTTATAAGTCCCAACGACTATACCACACTGAAGTCTCAAAATGAGCAATCATCTACACATGTGCAATGTCAAAAATTGTACTGCGCATTATGGCTGCTCAGCTTGTGGACAATAAAATAGTTTACAGTTAGAAGCCACACATTTGTACAGCTTTGTAATGGCATTACAATTTCTCTTGCTAGATGCACTTATTTAGATGCTTAAGGGGCCCCCTAAACTACCCAGAGGTCGAAACGTAGTTGTAGTGGGAAAGTTGTGCACGAGTCTACAAAGCCCACGCAGCCGTAATGGGGGAGTTGAGACGCATTTGACGATCGAAACGCAGCAATCGCTCTTGCCTTCGCTTCCCTCAATTGGTCTCCTATCCCAAAGACGCTTCGCTCTCCCTGCCAAGTGCCCCTCCCAATCTCGCATAGCATATGTCATTGCTGACGTGCTACTAGAAACACCGTCTACTTCCAGTTGCCGTGACTCCATGAACTACATGCTTGTTGGCAAACCACTGTTGCTATTGTAGCCCATGCTCCTACAAATTACTGCAAAAACCGGAACATAGGTCAGACTGAACTATAGGTCGACCCTTCCGAATTTTAAATTTCCGAAAAAGAGAGAAAAAAAAACGATAAGTATTGCAGCATGGCCTTACCTTGGTATATACTGCGTGACACAACCAGCTGCACTGTGGTGACATTTATTTTTATTTGAACACTAATCTTATGCAATTATATGACAGAAGGCCACAGAGTGCTGCCACTCAGACTCAAGCACTTTCATGGGGATGCACTCCGCTGTTACCTTGCACACAGCTCCTGGACGAATTCGGCAGGTAGCGTTTCTAGTTCGGGGTGCACTGCAGTCCGTCTACCAAACGTTTTTTTTTTTTTGCTGCAGGATATGATGCACTGCTTTTGACTCCTCCAGTATTGCATGCTTTTCTCCGATGCACCGAATTCCCGTTCTGCCCCTATGTTGCCGTGTGCTTCGGCACACTCGATAACTTTTTTTCTTAAAGCCTATCGTAAACTGCCGTCCACTACCAATCATTTCTAAAAAAAGAAAACAGCAGACTGGCAGCATATAATCAAGGCAAAATGGCGATGCTAGAGCACTGTAGTCTTTGCCATCCACAGATATGTGGCGCCCTCTCTGCTGGACAGTGTCGAGATTTATCATGACACGACACCCGCGGCTCATAGCGCTGCCACATGTGGCATCATTGACTGCAAGGGCATTCTGCATACGATGCACGTGTTTATTAGAAATGTTCAAAAGCTATCAAAAGTGGCTTAGGGGCCTTTTAAGAGCTGTAAACTGAGTCGGGTTCTTGTAGTCGAACAGTTGCTTCAAACTCTAAGGATGCAAGACTGTTGACAGAGAAAGGGAAGATCCATGAAGTGAATGCTGATGATGGAGCAAAGCTAGGTCCCAAGGGGCATAATGCCTACGTTGCAGTCGACGTCTAGTGTAAAGGACGGACAGTCTGACAAAGTACAGTCTATTTTAAATTTATATGCGCGCAATGAACGCTCTATGTACGGTGTATGTAACACTTGTGTTAGATTCTGACAAGAAGCTACGACAACAACTTCAACGAACATCGTGAGAGCCAAAGAGCTTCACTCCTAAAAAATAGAAAACCAGCTTTCTTAAGCAACACATGCTGCTATACTTACACGAGACAGCCTGAAGTCCACAAGGATCTTCGCACTCATCTCAATCAGGCTTGCTTTGAACACCAGCTGTGCTTTGCGTTTGTCTTGTGTGGTGACAGTGATCTGCAACAAAAAAAGGGGGCAGAAAAGTTTAACAGGCAATGTCACAACTAATTGACCATAAATTTCAGCAAACTTCGTAAAAAATAGCACGAAACAGGCCGCAGTAAAATACAATACTTTCGTAGTCTCGAACGATATCGGTGCAACTGCAGGCGAACAGGGTGGTTATCTATGCACTGAGAAAGAAAAAAAGAAGAAAAGCAGCTTACCTGTCCTGGGGAATTGGTCTTCCAAGAATAACCAAGGCGCTCAAAGAGCGACTTCAGCTCCTCAACAGTCTGCTGGGCGTCAGTGGTAACGAAGAACCTTGTCATACGCTTCACTAACCTCTGGAGGGGTGTCTGAAAGAAAAAATTGTTAGCTTTTTCAACAATAACCAGTAGAATGGCTATGGAAGGATTGTGCCACCGGCATGCGCTACTCATTCACAGTTGAGTGAAATCTTGCACGTGGCCAGAATTTCTTTTTAAGGACAAATAAGTACATATTAATGCTAAGTGCACTTCTGGTCATACTTGGCATATGCTTAATTTCACAAGGCTTAAAGGGACAGCAAAGAGGAAAGCAATCTCCGCTGTTGACCTTTTGCAATGCCACTCTTACGTTGAAAGAGTTATAACATTTGAAAAAAGACCCGTAATAATGCCATATTAAATTACCTGTACTCGCTCGCCATGAATGTTGATAATGTCTGTGCAAGTTTAAATTTTTTGAAGCAGCAATGAACTGCGCTGTACTTCGAAGAACTCGGGGAGTTGACATGTTTTTAGGAACTTTCAACGATTGAGAACATTGCAAATAGAAAAGACAACTCTCTCATAAATCTATGATGTCACCCTGTGGTGCATGACACGAGATTTCAACATAAAATTTCAACTTTCAGAATGGTATTTAACAATGCAGGTCAACTTGCCGTTCCCTTTTAGCGTCTCATAAGGCTATGATACTATGCACTGCGACAGGTATGTTTAACACTCAGGACTCACCTGTGAAGAACTCTGTGTACCCTGCGTCTGTGTGCTCAGAAGCAAGTCATCGAGGTGTGCTGGCTGTGAGAAGCTAACACGCTGTGCAAGCACATCTGCGTCAGAAGCAAGTTCAAGAGTTGGCTCAACGACTCTGCGTAATGGATCTGGCTGTGAACTTGAGAGCCTCGTGATGGTGTCGTCCCTATAAAGAATGACAAAAATGGCAAGTGAGCAAGACACTGTAAGTGAGGCAAGCAAATTCTAGCGAATTCTGTCATCAGCAAATATTTAGAAGGAATTTATTCAGTGTAGTACAGTAAAACATCGTTAATTCGAACTCTGTTATTTCGAAATCTTGCTTAACTTGAAGGATTTCCGCGGCCCGGTATTTTGCGATGTAAGTTTGAGTGGATAATTTGAAGCGGCGGCCGGCACCAGCCCGGTTAATTCGAAAACTTTGGGTGCCATGTGCCAGTTCCAGATCCCCATTTCACCGCGAATCCGCGGAAACCACGGCCATTAATTGCCACAAAGCAATGCAACATATCGATACTAATGAGTGGCAGCTGAAGCACCCCAGTCCTGCTACTTCCAGCACAAAAAAAAAAGAAAGAAAAAATGGTCTCGTAGTCAACCAAAACATGCACCTGCGGAAAATGAGCTGTGCTTCACTGCAACACAGTGGTGACAGGTGGGCAGCTTATCGCATGTTTCTCGCAACGTCAGCGGGTCATGGTTTACCCATTCTTTCTGGGATTGTAAAGAAATTAATGAAGGACAGTTTAGCGGAAATCGCGATGTGAGCGATTTCCGCTAAATTGCCGGCTGCTCCAGCAATGTGCATCTTTGCACTGCTAGCGGAGTTCTTGCCAGCAACACCTACTTCAAAAACTAAGTTCGAAAGTTTCAAAGATAATTTTTTTCCAGCCAAAACACTTCGTGAGCTTCGTCATACCGGCCCTTATTAAACTGATAATTATAATAGAATGTGCAAATGGTCGCATCATGAAGTGCTGACGCAGCAAGGAGCAGGTGACATGCTGTCCGCGTGTCACTACTGTATTGCAGTGAAGATGTCTTGTTTTCTGCAGTTGCACATTTTATTCACGAACGTTTTTTTTTTTTCCGTGGCAGAAGCGAGGCCCACCGTTCCTCCATGTATGCGGAAAAATAAAGACCAGGTATTGCTGAAAAACATAAGCTTTGGAGCCGCAAGCTAGCCGAGCACCGACGAGCACCAATTACTTTGAATAGTTCTAAGTTCCTTGCATCTCACTTTTTGTATGTTCTGTTAAGTCCAAAACACGCTTAATTTGAAGCTTTCTCGCGGCCCCAGTGACTTCGAATTAACGAGGTTTTACTATATTATCGAGAGCTCACAGAGAAGAGTGGAAGCTTCATATGAAGAGAAATAAGATATGACGAGGTTACAATTTCAACAAGGACACTAGTCACACTATTTTAATGTAAGAGACTAGGATACAAATAGTTTATCTACTTCGTCACTGAATTCATTTCCAGTTTAGCATGTATTCTCGTAAATTATTCTTTCGTAACAGTTATCTGCATCGGCGATATCTATGATCTCTCAAAAGAGATAACCACATAGGGAAAATTTACCAGGTCATAAAATCACAGACAGCCTTAAATAATGCTCAGCATTTTCTTGACATGAGGAGTCACTAAAAGACCACTCCTTCATTCCAAAACCTTCGAATTAATAGTGGAAGTCTTCAGTCATGAAAGATTTGACAGTGGTGAAACATGGGATGTTACAAAAACAGATTCTTCAGAGTTGATTTGTATCCTACTAGTTGTACAAATGATGACAAGTCTACTAGTCAAAGCATTGTCTCTAGAAACATCCCTTGTTTTCATCATCTTATGATCATTCAAATTTTATGATTTAATTTGCATAAAAGAAGTCAATTCCAAAAATGTTGATCAGATCACGTGTGCAAAGGTGTTCCATATATGATGCCAATAGGGGTAGTATATGGTGAATAAAGCCTCACATTTTTAGTAGGAATTCAGCATCAAAATGCAGCACAGAAGGGGTTAAGTTGAAGCTGCATGCAGGTCTATTGCAAGTGTAGTTGAAAAGCCACACTTCGAGAGAAATGATTTTGTCTTATCCCCCTCAAACATGAATTATGGGTCTGCAAATGCGTCAAATTCACAAAGCACGATTCCAGGACATGCAACATTACTATATTTTCTCAGATGTAACACACGTTTTTTCCTGCTTTTTGCTACCTGAAGTTGACCCTCACATTGCAATTGAATTGCTAAATTCAAGTAGTCTAAAAAGCGCATTGATGCACACAAGTATTACTTTTTCTTTTACATTTTTTATCCTAGAAGTTGCCCGTGATGTTACAATCATGGTCTTGTTGCAGTCTAGTGGATATGGTACATTTCATGAAAAGAAAGAAGGGAAATGTGTTGTTTTGTACAAGTTTTAGCAATAAGCCATAATTAGCATGTACACCATTAAATATTTAAATATACCGCAGTCAGTCACGTTCCATTTTCACATTAAGAGAATGAAACGATAAGCTCAAAATGTGTGCATAATTAGTTTGGTTGTATTCATTTCAAGGAAACCAAAATATGTCATACTGTTGACATTGGTCCTTGAATGTAATATGCTGAACATTGTAGTGACTTCACCAAAGAGACTGGTTACACTCATAAGCAGCACAATAACGTTAAGTCAAGATATGCCAACTATGCAGAAGGTTCACATCATCCGATGAGCAATGTATCTCGCTCTCTTTTTGACACAAATCGACACAACTAGCATAAACAAGTAACACACACAGAAGTAGCAAAACCCACCATTCGGAAATTAATACGTACCTCAGAGACAGCATAAACAATGTTAAAAAGGATATAAAATGGCATTTACCTGCTTGCATCAGCTGCCTGGCCGATGTCGAAGCAGCTAATTTTGCGTGTGTGCGAGTCTGCACTGCTGCCCAGCCACTTTGTGTTGGCATCTAGAAGACAAATTACGGTGTTGACAAATATGTTGGTCATGACAGAGCTGCTTACAGCAACACTCACTCTTTGACTTGAGAACTTTCTTCATCCACTGGTGGTTTTTGATTTGCTCTATAGTGTACCTCTTGGCAGGGTTTGGCATGAGTATCTTCCGAATAAGCGCTGTTGCAACCAAGTGGAACCACATTAATGTGATGTTAGTAACAGGAATGTGAGAATTTTCAGCAGTAGTTTATAGACAAATATAAAAAACAACAGAGTGAAATATGCCACAGGAACAAAAGGTCGTGGAGCACTAGTTCACCTTCACTGACTTGCTACCTATACTTGAACTACAGCTGTTGACGCTAGATCAATTTGTGAAGCGTACTTGTACATTGGAAGCTCCGATTTGTTATACAATTCAAATAGAGCCTTGTGCTAATCACTCACACCGAACTAACAAAAGCAAAGATGCATATGAAAGGCACTTTTAATTATGGAAACCAGCACTGATAAGATTATGGGTTCCTCAACCCATATTTGCAGACACTAAGTGAAAGTCTTTCACACTCAGGTCTCAACACCCTGGTCTGCTTACCTTGAAAGTGAAATAGTTTCATTCTTCTAATTAAATATACAAAATATGACAACAATGATTATCGGCATAATGGTGCAGCCATTTCTGCACACTACATCTAATAGGACAGCTCTCGCACACAAATAACTTCCTGCCATCTATAAGTTACCATCTGCATAGGTATGTTACATTCCTGTCGCATGGCGACCACCGAAATCCATTAAACTTCAATAAAGAAAAACTGCATTAGGGAGTTCGATGGAGATGGAGCTGTCTCCGTGTAGTATGGAAGTTTTACGAGCTTTGGACAAAAGCTGCAAGGGGTCCTTTTGGGGCTGCTACACCTATGCCAGCATGCAAGATTTTGCATCTAATCATGCTGAAAAATTTGTCAATTGTACATGACAAATTACGATTGAATAACATCAAAACAAAAAATTCATTTTTATCAAAAAATCATTTTTATCATAGAAACGTGTATCTGCAAGCATGTTGGCAGTAATGCTTACAGGAGTACCGATAACACAACTTTATGCTTCGTGTGAACCACAGCGCTTGAATAAGTGGGAACGGGCAACTCCGTAAGCTGAAGGAACCTTGCAGCCTACTGACCATATGTGCGCGAAGCGTTTCCCGGTAGAAAGCAATCTATACCACATATCACTGCAGAATACAAGGGAAACATCTGTTGCACGCACCAAAGAAACCTACGCTCACTTCAGACGCAGTGCCTGGCACTTTACCAGTGCCCAAAATACCTGACCATGCAGCAAAAACCAGAAAAGCTCAGCAAAAATGGCTGGCTCTACTGCCGACTTCTCGAAGCGACAAGGGCCTGACATGACTGCTCAAGCGTTATGTGGTGTAAGATAGTACATTTGTTTAAATTATTTTGTGTATCATGTGTTCCCGATAGCCTTGTGTCGTGTTTTTTTTTTTTTCTCTTGGCACTTCCGCTTTCTGTTTAAATGTATAATTTATGTATGTAAACCTGTTGAACAGTGCTTGGGTGGTAGGGTCACTTGTCAAGCAGTTACTCTGCCTTTAGTTGTAGTATCATCCCTTGACATGTAACATATTGAGACAAAACATGTTGAAAATAAACAATATTATTATTTCAAAATTACATTTGTTTTCATCGTGCGACAGCACTCAGGTAAAATGACATTAGGTCGGCTTAACGTCATTCGTTGTAAATTAAATCAAGTCTGCCGTGTGACAGGGGTATTAGATTGCCTTACATGCCTCATCAAACGGGAAATATGATTGTCGGCGTCCCGCATCGGTGGCATCAGGGTCGAGCTGCACATAATATACTGCTTTATGCAGTCCACTCGCTTTCACTGTCTGACAAGCAGCTTGATCCAGTTGAAATCTGTGCAGCTTAATAAAATAGCGCCATGTATAGCTAATGGCACTGGCCCGACAGGGGTGTGTGGTACGGTTTAACCCAGGGTCGACTTTCGGGACTCAATGAAGTTTTTCCCACCATACCATGCTATTCACACTGCCAGAGGCCAAAATCTGCAGGACGCTAACAGCATGACTGCCAAGGGTAGCGTGTTTATTTAAGTTCTTAATCGAATGCATGAATAGAATACATTAGTTGAAAGTTTTCTGATGAAGTTTTTGTTTATTTTGCTGAGCAACCAGAACCCGACAGTGATGTTTGCGTGAACACACGCATGCAGACTAGTGCCTTCCTAATAGCTAGCGCGCCTTCGCCCTTGGGCTGCTATCTTTATTTTTTTTTTTAACACCTTAAATTTTCTCTCGTAGACAACGCTGCTTTTTGCTCTGAACCAAAGATGCCGACATTGACACCAGAACTGCAACGAAACAAGCTTTTTAGTGCTGTCGCGTCAAAATGCAACCTGTTCTCCAGGCCAACGTTTGCTGTTGTCAGAGCATTTATATCGCAAAAACACTGTTAGCAAATAAACTTCATGCGAAATTATAACATTGATTTCGTTACAGCCGAGTCACAGTGTATGAATTTATTGACATCCATGTACATGAGTATATTGTTATGATGGGGCGTGTTTATTGAAGAGTGAATGGTGAAGGGTAGCCGCGCCGACACCGAGCTGCTTCCAAACAGACCACATCGTTCTCTCTTCCTCTCTTCATACGTTCCCGCTTCAGCGTAACACTCCCCCTTTCCCAGACGAAGACCCCTGGGTGAGTATCAGTCACGAGGATGAAAGCGCTTTAGGCGGGTGACGTGAACAAGCTGCGTCTGCCTAGAACGGTAGCCGCGAGATACGAGACGAGCAATTGAATATGTCACATCACTTAGGCGATCAACGATGACAAAGAAAACAGTGTAACAAGCCAGGATCTTTGGTACAGACCACGCTTGCGAAAGGGTGTCCATAGCCATACTTTTTTTTCTCTTTTTCGTACGACACGTTCTTGTGCCGTGAATCATAGGCAAACATGGAGCGGTCTTGGGTTGCCAAAGTATGGAGCTGAGCTAGGCGACGTGCTTCCTTCCGAACGGCAGAGAGTCTGGGCAATAGAAGAGTCCTCATGCGCATGAAAAGGCGGAATGGTGTCACGAAAGTGGCAGGGTGGTCTGACATAAAGAAGATAAAATGGACTGTAGCCAAAGGTTTCATGCTTTGCCGTGTTATAAGCATAAATGATAAATGGCAAGATGTCATCTTCAGTTCTTGTGCCTGGAGTCAACGTACATCTAAAGCATGTTGGTAAACGTTTGTTGGTGCGCTCGACTGAGACCATTTGTGTGCGGGTGATATGGGGTCAAGTGGCGAAACTGGCAAGCACGAAGACGCAAGAGTTCTTCTACAACATCGGCTACGAAATTGTCGACCACGATCACTTCAGAATAATCCGAGGCGGATCCATGGCGCAGTATCACAGAAGAGAGGACAAACTTCGATACATCGATGGCCGTGGCGGTTGGTAGCGCTTTGGTTTCCACTATAACGAGTCATGTGACCAACGCAGACTATGATCCACCGGTTTTTGATCAATGAGCGCGGAAATGGACCGAGAAGATCCACTCCAATCATTTCAAAAGGAGACGAGGGTGACATCAAAGGGTGGAGGAGACCAACCGGGGTAGTATTTGGTCGCTTGAATTGCTGGCATTTATCACAACTGGCCACATACTTTTCTGTATTGCGTCGCATGGTAGGCCAGTAGAATCGAGCCAGCAGGCGGTGGTGCGTTTTGGCGAACCTCAGGTGCCCCGTTGATGCGTCGTCATGCAAAGCATAGAGTATGTGCGTTCTCAAATTCTTGGGGACCACTAAAAGAAGGCGGACACCATCAGCCGCGTAATTTTGTTTGTATAGTAAGCCATCTCGGACGATAAAGCCGTGGCTATATATCGGTTGAACGGCCGAGTCAAAGAGATCCCCTAAGCTGCAGGTCGTTGCGCTGTTCTTCCCTGAAGGTAGCGAGGTCAGGAAAAGTAGTATCGTCGATGGCAGCTAGAAAATCATCAAAATTGTCGGCGTCACGTAGAGTGGTTGGTAGGGGAAGCTTCGAGAAACAGTCAGCGTCTGCATGATGGCGGCCACTCTTGTAGCATATTGTAAAGTTAAATTCCTGCAAACGTAGCGCCCATCGCGCGAGGCGACCAGAAGGGCCATGGAGACCTACCAACCAACATGATTAATGGTGGTCAGTCACGATCGTGAACTGCCGCCCGTAGAGATATGGGTGGAACTTATGCACAGCAAAAACCACAGCGAGGCACTCTTGTTCAGTAACGGTGTAATTCTTCTAGGCCTTGCTCAACGAACGACTGGCGTAGGCAATGACATGCTCAGCGTCATCGAAGCGCTGGATGAGCACGGCGCCTGAGACCGATGCCACTCGCGTCGGTGTGCACTTCTGTCATGGCAGATGGGTCGAAATGGTGCAGTATGGGTCCAGACAGGAGAAGGAATTTAAGTTCACGAAACGAGGCATCACACTCTGCTGTCCAGATGAAACTCCTTATCTTTGCAAAGCAGTGAAGTCAATGGGTAGGCAGTTTCAGCAAACTTGGGCACAAATCGGCAGAAGTATGAACAGGGACCCAGAAAACTCCTTAGTTCGCGTTGTGACTGCTGTTGTTTGAAACAGGTAACTGCAGCAACCTTCTGAGGGTCTGGGTGCACACCATGTTTGTCTACAAGATGACCAAGTACAAGTGCTCCTTGCTGACCAAAGTGACAATTCTTGGAGTTCAGGGTAAGGGCAGCTTGTTCAAGGCATGTTAAAACAACATCAAGTCGATGGTTGTGTTCATCAGTGCATCCAAAAATGACAATGTCGACGAGGTAACATACACAAATCTCCCATTTGAGACCACGCAGTACCGTGTCCATAAACCTTTCAAATGTTGCAGGGGCGTTGCACAAACCAAACGGCATGACATTGATTTTAAACAAGCCAACTGGCATGACAAAAGCGGTTTTCTCTTTGTCGGTGGAAAGCTTAGGTACGTGCCAATAGCCCGATCGGAGATCCACAGACGAGAAGTAAGATGCCGAATGAAGACTGTCGATAACGCCGTCTTTGCGGGGAAGCGAATACACATACTTTTTCGTTATTGTATTTAGACGCCGGTAGTAGATGCAACACCTCCAGGAACTGTTTTTTTTTTTTTCACGAGGATGACCGGTGCAGCCCAGGGGCTAGAAGAGTCTTGGATGACATCGTTAGCCAACATGTGTTCCACCTGTTCAGCGATCACCTTGCGCTCCGATGCAGAAACACGGTATGGTTTCTGCCTGATGGGATGCACGGACCCCATGTCAATCCAGTGGAGAGCCCGCGTATTGAGAACATGAACTTTGGTAGCGTCCTGGGTGAAATCAAACAATGAAGCATGCCTGCTAAGGACGCTGACCATGGCTTGACGCTTCTCAGAGGGTAGTGCCTTGCTAATCATGTTCAAAAACGACGAAGAGTCTTCGGGGACACCAGGGTAGTCTCATGCGCCCGGGATTCATTCTAGGCATGATTGCTTAAGGCGTCGATAGTAAGGCTCGTATCCGCTTCAAACGAGGCAAGTCGCACACCGCTTGGAAACACAACAGACTGGTTAGACAAATTTGACACCCACAATGTACTTGTGCCACAGGCCACAGAGACACGAGCACAACCTTCTTTGCGACGATTGGTGGCATCGGCTCAACAACAGCGTCGAATATATCGTTGTCGACACTAGCAACAGTAACCTGAACGCAGGATAACGAACAGGGCGGTACGACGGAATCTTCACAGACGGCGAGGGTGTGCGAACAAGTAGCAGATTGGTCAGCAACAAAAGGAGAGACAAAAAGCTCGCCGGTACCCCAATCAAGAGTGCCACTGCACTGTTGCAGGAAATCTAGACCCAGAATCACATTATGCACTGATTTAGCGAGCACTGTGAATTCGGCTTGATAGACGTTATCAGAGAAATACACGTTCGTGGTACACACACCAAGAGGTTGTAGCAATTCTCCACTCGCAGCACGAAATGGGCTCGCATTATCCCGCTTGAACATCCCCTTAAGGCCTAATTAAGTTTTGAAATCCATGCTCGTAACGGAGACACTTGCTCCCGTGTCCACTAAAGCTGTCGTTGTAACATTGTCCACAGAAACACAAATCTTGTCATGGCGCATAGTCACTGGTGGAGGCGTAGCGGTGTGTAGCTGAAGATGACTGGCGACCCTACCTCCATCGGTCGCGCCGCCTAGTTTCCCGGCGGCGGTGAAGTGGGACATCGTCGAGGAGATGGGGATCTTCGGTAACGTGAAGGTGGTGGCAGTCAAGCTCCACACAGACGCCGGTGAGTCACTGCGGTGATTCCCCCGATAGTTTGGCCTGCTGTCAGAGTCTGAGGGCCAGGGTGCCTCGTCAACGGGCTGATTGCTGCCGCAGTAGAAAGTGCGTGGTCACCCATAGGACGGTGCTGCCGTGCAACGGCGATTGGGGCAGAATTGGGCGACATGACAGCGGATGCCACAGTGAAAGCATATGGGACGTTCGCGAGGTGCGCTGATGTCAGCAGAAGGATGAATGGCCCAGCCGTTTCATGCCTGATAACCGGTAGGTGGTGTGCGCGCGTATTCGTTATCCAATGGGTAGTACGGACGCATAGTTTGGCTTGGTCCTCGAGGACGAGGTGTATAGTTGTAGGCATCAAGGGAGGCAGCGTTGATAGTCGTAGCGCTCAAGTCGCAGGGAGGAAAGTGTTCTCGGAATTAGGTGCCGGCCGAGAAGCCGCCTCGCACAGGTCGAGCTCTTCGCGCACTACTTGGCGAGATCCGATGGGGTGGGATGCACGTCAAGCACTGGCCACATTAGTGATGTTGGGCAGGCGGCCGAACTTTGGTGTAATTTGCCGCGCTTTCAGCACTCCAAACGTACGGCAGTGCTTGATAATGTCACTTACACGCTCCAAGCTTTCTTTTGCGATGAGAAACTGGTAAACGTCCTCCGCGATCCCTTTTAGAAGATGAACCAACCTTGTCCTCTTCTGTCATCCAGGGGTCCAGTGCCCTGCACAACTTGAGCACCTCCTCAGTATACATCGTGCAGGTTTTCTTGGGGACTTGTGCTCGTTGCATAAGAGTTTGCTCAGCACGCTTCTTCTTGGCTGCCGGATCCCCGAAGCACAACTTGATTTCATCGACGAACTTCCGCCACGTCGTCAGGCTTTCTTCGTGGTTTTCAAACCATACAAATGCGGTTCCTCTAAGAAAGAGTCCCACATTATTGAGCTGGCCGATAGCATCCCAGCCATTAAACTGACTCGCCCGTTGGTAGGCGCTGAGCCACGAGTCGACATCTTCTGCAGCTTGTCCAGCGAAGGATGGAGGCTGGATGTAGGGCTGCCACGGAATGCGGGAAGCAGGTGGCTTGTTTTCATTGTTGTCGTGAGACGCCATCGCAGGTGGCAGACCAGCAAGTCGTCGGCTTGGGCAAAGCTCCGCGTAATGCACCTCAGCGGTCGACGAGTCGCCGTTCGTCGGGGACGCCGTTATCGTACACAGCACCTCTCACCTAAACTGTTACGATGGGGCGTTTATTGAAGAGTGAATGGCAAAAGATAGCCGCGCCGACACCGAGCTGCTTCCAAACAGACCACTTCGTTCTCTTTGTAATAAACAAACGAGGAGGCTTCGCAGCGATAACCTTCTACACGCAGATTGAAGTCGCTCCCCAGTGAGCGCCTTGACCCACCCTTCGCAAGCACCATCTGTCGCATTCAACGGAAACATACCAGGCGACAAACACAATCTGGGCGTGGCGCCAGGTGCACTTTCATCACCTAACTTATTCTTACACTGTGGGATGAGTCCCATAACAGTTCACGTGTACCGCTGACAGAGACTGCCAGTACTAACGAATAAGGAAGAAAACCCACATCACTCACTGCTGTGAGTTCTTGTAGTGTTAGAGTGGAATGAGGAGCACCACAATAGGAAGCGAACGATGTGCACAGATGTGAACACGATGACGAACGCTGACTTTGAATCTCTTATTCAAAATGATGGCACCACGGTTTCTTGCGAGGCATGGGTACACAGAGTGTGTGAACTTGCGCACTTTTTTTTTCCCGATGAATGCACATTATGAATAGATTATGCAGTGAAAAAACTTTCAATATTGATAAATTTCATGATTGCATGGACTGCGGCTGTTGCGCTTGCAATTTCTTCCATAACTAAAGATTACTGGGGACGAGACTACTCCACTTTGGCTGCTACCGAAGACTGCCGAACTTCCATTGCGAAACGCTGTGTTTGACTTCCTTGACATAAGGAATAATGTGCGATACAAACCGCATCTTTGCTGTCGTAAGGACGAGATATTTGAATTGAGTTCGCCGTGACCCGTGTAACAGGAGTATTACATAAGTTAGCATCTAAGGAAATGTCAGATTTCGCACTTAAACAGCCAGTGTGCATTTACAAGAAAACACACGAATGTTGCATCTGCTAGAGGCAGCAATAAACTATGGACACTCAACACTCAAGGCATCATAATGTAACAGCCATTTTTTTTTTAGGATGCAGCATACAACATGCCACATGATGTTTCAAGCACATACTAAACATGCGGTAAACCAGAACACTCGCGATTCCCATATACCAAAGTTGAAGCATCTTCTGAACCTTTTATTTCTCTATTCGCAACTTTCCCAGATGGTGGCGTCGCCAAGCAGCATCCGTCGTAACTGTCGTTTGGGGGATGCCCACGCAGCCAGCCCATGCCATCGTTCACTGGTGCTTTATATTTTATCACTGGCGATATCTAATACGGTTATTCTGAATTCAGTAGTGAACTACCGAAGTCGGACAGGTACTACGAGTCGTAGCAGCAATGATTTACTCTTTATTTTTTGCTTGTTGAGCTAGAAGAATCACAAAATATGTTAGATGCCTCTGTGTCTGTGCAGACGCCGTGCAGTCAAAGGCAAGGTTTCCTGCTTAGCACGAGCGCGGCCGCTCGATCTTCCCCGGCCGTGGCACGAGAAGCGTTCACAAAGCTGTACGTGCATTCCTTCAGACCGCAACAGACGATGTGCCCGGTGTTCAAAACTTCTTTTCCTTCAATATACGCTGCACACGCGATTCTCAACACGCAGTGTGAGATATAATGCATGCTAGAGTCAATGACCTTCTCAGCAAAGCCTTGACAACACAGCGGCTGCAGCCAAAAATATTACGCAGTTCGAAGTGACGGGCACACCGGCGGCGGCTGCCGGCGTGCCGGCTGCATGATCCCCCAAACGACAGCCATGTTGGGCTTGCTCTAGCGCCCTCTCTAGGCGTTGAAAGTTGCGAATAAAGCATGTTACCTTCAACTGTTTGCAGACGTAATTCGGAAGAAATTAAGTAACGCATTCATCCAAGATGAAGGGTTAAATCAATGCACAGTGGTACAATTTCTAGTGCTTTGAGCATATTCTGGTTGTTGGACTTCTTGAAAAATTGACACTTACTTGATCTAGCCCTCTGTGCCACTACAGTACAAAAATAACCTGTGAAGTGCACTTTGAATACTGCAAGCTAGTATATAAAGAGCAAATGAGTGTTGCGCAGATTTATTTTTACCAATCACTTACAGAGAACTGCATTGTCCAGCTTTGACCATGGTGGCACAGTAATCTTGCATTCCTTCCAGTCTTTGTACTCCTGGCAACATGCAGATGGCTTATCCCAAGGCAGCTCTATAATAACGATAACAAGTTGGCAAGGAATAATAATCTAAAGTGAAGCTAAGCAGCAAAATGTATAAAACATTTAAACACAGACCATGCCAGAACAGTGCCTGGAATACATGCCATAGTGATTCAGGCACAAATTTAGTAGAATTCTACACTTCGTAAAAATTATATATATATATATATATATATATATATATATATATATATAATAGTATATAACCACTCAAGCGGGAATACAAGGCAACAATCTTTTGGCATTTCAGTGAGAATACCAATGCATATGCCATATAATGAAAATAAAAAACCAGCAGTTCTGTGTACGAGAATGCAATTGACGAGTGAAATTTATTAGAAATGGAATGCAAGCAATAATGCACATGATTCTGCTACTGACTTTTATGAAGACTATAGGGTGGGGAGTGGGGTGGAGGGGTAGTCTACTGCGCTCGGTGGCGCAAACTATCCACAGAGTCGGTGAGTGGCGCATGCAGCGCAGTGCAAGCGATCTGCCACTGCTCCTGCGTTTCCGCTACGGCGAGAACGTGCCCCTGTTCTGCTTAGCGCGCTTACCCAGCGCAAGGAGCTGCGACAGCGGGGTGTGCACCTAAGTAGCTTTGCTCCTTTAAATGCGGGAAGGGTAGACATTGCGCATTTGAAAGGTGCATTGCCAGCTCTGATGATGAATGTGTGAAGTTTATTATTTTACAAGACGCTGACAATAAACAATTGAAATTGCATGTCATTTTGGTGCGATGGAAAATTACATGCAACAGCAATTTTTCAAAGCTGGTACGCAAGGACACCTGACTCGAAGCAGAGCATGCTAACCGAGATTGCTGGTTTGCCGATTGAAATTTATGTCAAATGAAAAAATACTTTTTTAGTCGCAATTACGTACCCCAGCCCGGTGATCCTACGCCTGTCTTATCCTCACCTATACCCGACGGACGCGTGTAAAGTGTGCGGGGAAAGGGCCACACTGCGGCACATGCTTTGGGAGTGTGCTGGAAAAGTTAACATCACTGTCGCCGCTCCCTTCGCGACGCATGTTAGGCAAGTACAAACTCCGAGGCCAATTGCTGATGTCACCACCGCGCGAGGGGCAGGGGCCGGCCTCCACCGCGGCTGTGGTCACTGTTGCCGATATGAGACGGCAGCTGTGCTGCCGCTGGGAGGCGGCACTCACCAGCGACGAGCTGGTTGACCAGCTTTAGGCCGTCCGGCAAGCTGAAGATGCCGCCCGGGTGCAAGGACTTCGAGCGGTCACCTGAGGCACCGCCATCACAATCGACGGAGAGTGGAAAGGGACAGGGGTTAATCCCCTCTTCCCCCACCTCGCCCAGTAAAACTGCCGGAATGAATGAATAACTTTATTTAAAGTTTATTCATTTATTCATTAGTGGCAATTTGCTCTTCATCTAGATTTTCTCTTGGCATATAAATACATTGGACAAAACATTTGAACTTTCCGCGAGGATAATCCGAAAATGTACGCTAATGCAACCCTCTTCTTCAAAAACACTTATCAGCACTCCAGCATACACTGAACCAGCGTCAAGTCAAGTATAACAGGGCACTCACCGCCACCTAGTAGTGCGACTAGTATGACCCCGCAACTCCAGATATCAGCAGGTTCTGCTCGATACTGCTTGACAAGTACTTCAGGGGCAATGTACGGCATTGTGCCGCATCTCTTCACAAGTAGCCTCTCTTGTCCCCGAAACCTGAACACTGTGGCCATCCCGAAGTCCGAGATCTTGATGGTGTCTGCGCAGTAGTAGTGTAATGTTCAAGATCAGTGGCAGTGTATTCAGTCTACTGTGCGACGTGCAATGCCAGGGTTTCCAGTACAATAGTGATGATGCAACAATCCACCTTTTTCACGGTGCCACAGTGCATGTGTCCTTCCCCGAGCAAGAAAGTCGCAAAAATCCTCCTTTTCTCAAAGGCTTTTGCTCTAACAATTCCGGTTCTCCCGGCTACTACCAATAACGCAGAGGGCAGCAGAGAAAAATGGAAAAGGCCGATTACATAAGTGCTTCTTACTTGTTTGTGCTGGATCTGTACTGCTGCCAGCAAAGACCACTGGCGTAGCCAGAAGGCGTCAACCCCCTTCCCCTCGAAATTTCACAATTTCGCATACCTATATAAACGAGCCCACAATCATGCACTAAGGGTGGTTGAAATCCGACCTTAACCCTAACCCTCCGAAAATTTTTGGCTATGCCACTGGTAGGGCCAAGGACCTGTGCTATTACAATGGCAGTCCCACATAATGGTGGCTTGAATACATACTCATCTTATTGTTTACTTTTTAAAAGCAAAATGTTTGGCACCAATGTAACATACATCAATGTTTCCTTTTTTTCACAGGTAGGCTACATTTTGAAGTATTCATTTGAGCAAGTGACCACCGCAGTACCAACCCCTATTTTTTCCGAGTTTGCTATATGTGTATGGAGGTCCCAATTTAAGTCCAGACTCCATGATCTTCCGTATACAGAGTTGCAATAAATTCAATAAAACTTCTGATTTTTACAAAGGCCTTAAAATTATGCGACTGTTTTATCCCGTAATAAATGGCAGGCATTGCATATTTTAGCTGAATATATATTATATATATATATATATAATATTTATATAATATATATATATATATATATATATATATATATATGTATGTATGTATATATAAGCTTTACCAGCACTGTAACTACATGAGAGAATTTCTCATTTGAGTTGCATTTCAGAGGATTCACCAGTTTACCTTCTGTCATATGGTTTAAGTTCAGCTGCATTTTCTCCACCACATCGTCGCAACTTTTAGATTCAGTCATTAGAACGTGATTTTAACTTCGTAGCTATTACTAGACAGACTATAAAAATTTGTAACATTCTACTACATTTTGATAAAATTTTCCAGAAAATGAAGGCCAAACAAAGAGAACATTCACCATTTGCATCCAACAGGATGTTCTCAGGCTTCAGGTCCCGATGTGCAACACCCTTAGCATGCAGGTACTCCTGAAAACAAACTAGTTATTAAGTACACTAACAGAAGAGCAACACATTTAATGAATTTAGAAACTGGTTATTAAGTATACAAAGAAAAGAGCAACACTTTTTGATGAATCTAGAAACTGGTTATTAAGTATACAAACACAAACACTTTTTGATGAATGAAGATGCAATGTTTCATTATGGCTGGGCCAGGCAGTTTCACAAATGCCATATCCAAGTATAGAACCAAATGGAAGTATATATACTTTGTATAACATGCCAGCCATTGCTTCCTTTTTCTCACCACATTTTATAATGAAACCTAGCAATTACAGCATGCAGTCTACTCAGCTCATGTAGACAACATTTCCAGAAGACATGCTCTCTCAATATTATCTAACAAAAACATGAAGGGAAATCAAATTCCATCACAACAACTCTGCGTGTTAAGAGGACAATAAACGATCTCAAGGTCCAAAGGTAGTAATAAATAGAAATATGCGAACTTTTGCAAATGTGTGCTATAATAAGGAAGTTACAGGGGTTACTTAGAACAACCATTTCTAATTCTTGTGTGACCTTACCGCCCTTCTGCACTATAGAGGGAAAGTCGTAGTCTACCATCATGACTACGCCCACTTAGGCAACCGCACACAACGTCAACAACTGATGTCATCGGCGAGCTCGATCACTTGCAATGCACCTACACTTGCCGAGGCTCCTGCATGTGTACTGTTTTTTACATTCTCCTATGCTCCTATTATGGACACAACACTGCAGGCGAGCCTTGAAGGGTTTGTGCGAGACAGGAACCTCCATATGCCTTGTCGACGCACAACTGAGGGCGACGATGACTGTCATGCAGGTGCTATCCTGCGCGTGGAATATACGCTCAACGAAGTGCGGCCAAAGCTGCATCACCACAGGGCCATGAAACAAAGTGCAGTTCTGTAGCAGTGGGTGGGAACAGGAATTGACGTTAACTTGACAAATGTTTGTCGAGACCTGGTTTAGACCAATCGATGACCTCAGTCGTATGTCAAGCTGCCCATTGGTAAGATTTAACCACTGCACATACGAGGGGGATTGGCGAGGGTACAAAAAAGAGGTGAAGGATTTGTTTATTGAAATGGAAGGTCTACGAATCACCCAGTGCTGAATACTCAAAAAAATATGATTGATATGGTCTACTATACAAGTTGGCGAGATTGTTTTAGGGGTGTAAGAAAAGCCGGTGCCTGTTTACTGGCCCTTCAACGGTGCAGCTTTACACAGAATTCTCACAGCTAACTTCACAGCTGCTTAAAGTCATTATTTTTCTTTTCCGAGGTCATCAAGACTGTATGCACTAAACCAATGAGTACACATAATTCAGTGAAGCCATGCATGTACAATTAAATAGCATATACAACTCCCAAGTAGCGCAACTTACTTGACTTCAAAATCAGTGCAATACACATCCGCATGGCAAAACTAGCACAAATATAAAAAATTCAAGTTAAAGGGCTTCAGTTTGTTTTGGCTGGACGAGGCAATATCTAAATATCTATATCTAAATAGAAAGGTGCGTTATTTTGAATTCACCCACACTGCAGCCAAGACTTTCACCCACCACCTCTTGTGCAGCTACAGAATTTCAAGAGATGAAGTGTATTGTGCAACAAGGAAAAAAATCCACACACATGCCTAAATGTGTGGCTTTTTATTTCAAAGAGCATTATTGTTCTTACTTTACTACAGCTTACATCATTAAGGTAATCAATGGTCAACCAGATAGACCACATTGCCATTTGGCACAAAGACTAGCAGCTTACATTTCAAAAACTCAGTAAGTAAATAATAATAAGTACAGCGAATACAACTCACCACTCCAGCCATTATCTGTTTGAAATACTTTTGCGCAACTGCTTGGTCCACACCACAATCGGGCTCTGTAAGTAACATCGAAACTGTCTGCCATAGCCGCGGAAAAGCGAGCAACATACTCAACAGAACTTAAATCAACAAAACTGTCAGCCACAGTCGTAGGAAAGAGAGCAACATACTTAACAGAATTCAAAAATTGACCTTAGTGCATATACATGCTGCATATCCAAGAAAACTCTTATGTAAGAAAATATAAACTAATTCGTATGCACTCACCTATCCTGTCAAACAGCTCACCACCAGACGCATACTCAAGAAAAATATACTGATGAGTCCCATCCTTCCTGTTACCATAATATTTAATAATGTTCTCGTGGTTAAGCATTCGGTGAACACATATCTGAAGAAAAAAAATAAACAAGTTCAGAGGAAGTTAATTGTAACAATTTATTATTTTTAAATCTGGCACGGATTACTGAAAAGTGGCCACCTAACCTCCTTCTTAAAGTTCTCAGCTGCCTCAGCGTGGTCAGTATTGTACAACACCTTGACGGCGACTGCTTCTTGGGTTGCCCTGTTCACCAGAAGTTTCACTCTGAAAGCAGGGGGGCAAACGGTTAAGAGTACTCGCACGACGTACTGTCTCGCTCTAGGACTGCTGTCACTTACTCCCCATACGCTCCTTCACCCAGCACTTGCGCCAAGTCCCAGCCCTCCACAAACTCGCTCTTCATAGTGCTGAAATAAAGCGTCACAATGTCGTCGATGCCGGCCAGTGCGAAAGCAAAACAATGGCACGCTGCCGTAAGCGCTGGCCCAGCCTACTCACGTGTGCACCAAACTACCGGTCGGGAGCGCATAATACGCCTAATGACCGCAACTAAGCACGTACATCGTTATCCCTAGAAAAAACCGCGTAATGCGTGCTACGGGATTTAAATGACAGGACCGGTGGCACAATGGTACACAACCGAAGGAGGAAAAGTTTAAAAATACTGTAAAGCCAACCTCGAAGCAAAGTACGAAGGGCATGCTGCCATGGACTGCGTGCCGAGAGTAAGGCCTCTGTCAAGAGGTGTGCAAGGCTATGTTTGCTCAGATACAGGCCTTGGAACCTGTCTGGACGTGTATTGCCGTTTCACGACAGCGCGCCGAAATGAGGCTATGTGAAGTGTCACGCATGAAACTGACAATGACAGACTTACTCCACCACCTGTAACGCTTCCTGCTCAAGCCAACGAACGTGGAACAGGCAGAAAATTGACCGATGAACCAAACAACGCTGCCAGCCAGCGAGCACTGGCCATCTAGACAACGGCCGCAAGCGTACCTTGTTAACAGCGCGCGGTCACAGTTAGGTAAACGTCGGATAAATATAAACCACCAAAACGCAAAGAACGAAACAGCAACTCACATGGCACTTTATGTCAAGTCATTTAAGCTCTCGCGCGAAGGCAATTCAAAACTTCCGTTTCATTGGAATACCGCGATATTGGCGATATTACATCACATGATGCGCACGCACAGAGAAAGCGCGCGAAAAGTGTCGATGCCAGTGCGACTTCAGCACAGAACACCTACCACTTGGTGTCCGTTTTGCTCTGAAAAATACAACTTCATACTAATTGCACAAATTATAAAATTTTATTTCAATTACGTAGTCATACATACACTAAAAATTGGACTGATAAAGTTGCAGTTTTTAATTCGCATTAAATAAACAAACTGCGCTGCAGTGAGCTCAGGTACAGTCAACGTTTCTAGAAACGTTGGGTACAGTGTACTAGAGTTAGGGTGGCTAGAATGGCTAGAATGGGGAGGTGTGATGAGCGGGGCGCCTTTCGCTTGGCGGAGAGGGTCCTTCGGCGCGCCGATGCCGCTAGGGGCGCTGATGGCAGCGGCGCGGGTAGTGAGCGGCGCACTTCGCTGGGTTTGCTTCAGTCGCGCCATAATTTTTTTCGTTAGCAGTCGCACTGTCTTACAAGTATGTCGTCGATCGGTGATTGCGTTGAGTCTCTCTGAAATGTCCGAAGATGTCAACGACAAAAAAGAAGACGCAACGTTGGTGCTTTGTGCCTGGCTGCAACACTGGATATTATAATTCTTCAGGAGAGAAAGTTTCCCTTTTCCGAGCTCCCACGTGTAGTGTGCTGTTCGACAAATGGATTCGTGCTATTCCAAGAGCGGACAAACAGCTTGACGAGAACTCCGCAGTGTGCGAGAAGCACTTCGACCCAAGGTATGTACAAAAAATAGAAGGCACGGTGTTCGCACACCCGAGCAAGAGACCAATTTTGCTTACTTGCGTTCCACGTGTCACATGCTGCATTGCAACATAACCAATTGGCTGTCCTTTTCTCTTTTCTTTTTCACAGATTTGTCGTGCGTACGTTCAAACATAGGATTAATGGTGAAGATGTATACATGCCGCGCGCTGTGCCGACCTTAACAAATGACGCCGTGCCGACGATTTTTCCTAATTTGCCTAAATACTTGACGAAAGCTCTGCCCAAGGAGAGAAAGAGACGGAAAAGCGTGGCTGAAAGTGCTGTTTCGAGTAAAAGAATTAGTGTGAACCACGACAATGTCGAAGAAGGCTCAGCGATTGACCATGACGTGATCGTTTCAGAACAGAACGTCATGTTGACCGAACAGCTGCATTCCTTAAGTGCTATGCTTCACCGTCCTAGCGAGTTGTGGTCGATGCAGAAGTTCGAGCAAACGAATGCATTATGCTACCAGACCGCTAAATTGGACAGAGATTTAACACCTCCTGTTATTCACAACAAGATAGTGTTGTTTGAAGCTGAGGAAGGAGCAGCTGCTCAGTGCAGCATCTTTCTGAACGGGTTCCTATTCAAAAAAAGTGGCTGTCAGACAGTGAGCCAAGCACAGGATCTTCTCAAGTATGCAGACACATTGACACCCTGCGTAGGAATTGGGACAATGGAAGAGTTCCAACCACTGAATTTGGAAAGCAAGGCGAAGCTATCTCAAAATCGTGTCTTCTCCCTTTCTTGCGATGGTTCCTCATCGATTTCGCTACAAGGTATTATGAGATATCGCAGTTGCGCAAACCCTGCCTAAAATATTTTATTTGAGCCTGTAGATACCTGTCCCTGCTTTGGTTAGACTTATCCACCGATTATGGTACACTTTACAGATGGCTCATCTGGACGTTGTACTGCCTGCAGAAAATGCAGAAACCTTCTGAAGGCTCGTCTGCTCCGTCTAAAAAAAAAAAAGACTAAGCGGCCACTTGCAAGAACAGCTGCACAACGACTGAAATGGGCTGTTCGTACGTTGAAGAAAAAGAAAATGAAGCTGCTTACCTTGCAGGATGCCCTGAAGAAGATGCGAGAAAAGACTTCACAAATCATTGCATCTGTGTTAGAGGAAAAGGTACACTGTCCCATTAAGTTGTTATAGATTCATTACTAATAGCTTCTTAATTATTTCAGCTGAAACTTCTTCCAAAAAAGCAACGGGCTGCGGTGCAGGCTTGTTTTGACGCTGCCAAACGAAGGTCCTTGCGCGGATATAACTACAATAAAGAATGGCTCCTTGAGTGCATCATCCTCAGAATGAAAAGTGCACGACTGTATGAGCATCTTAGAGCACACAGAATTCTTGTCCTGCCAAGCCGTGCTTGCCTTCAAAAATACATCAAGGTATGTGATTGCATATGGTGTGCAGTATAGAGATGGTTCCTAATGTTTTTATCTACAGGGATTCGCTGCTGCTTATGGGTTTAATACCAAACTCCTGAGCTGTCTGAAGAAAAAAGTTAAAGACATGGATGAAATGGAGAGGCATGGGGGCATAGTAGTGGATGAAATGAAACTCTCTGCTCATCTGGACTTGCAGTCGTCCAGCAATATTGAAGGCTTTGTCGACCTCGGCAAGTTTACCGATGCCAATGAAAGACACCGCAAAGCTGACCATGGGCTTGTCATAATGTTCCAACCATTTGTGGGGAAATGGACACAAATCATTGGTAATATATTTTTTGCACTGTTAAGGCACATATGCCGAAGCGTTTTGTAATGCTCTATTTCTCTTCAGGTGTGTTTTCATCCAGCGGGAACGTAAAAGCCAGGCTGTTGACAAAACTTTTGGTAGAAGCTACAATTTTGTGTGAGCAAGCCGGCCTCTACGTGGATTACATTTGCTGTGATGGTGCGCCCTGGAACAGATCTATGTGGAACATCCTGGGGATACGCGCCACCCTCAATGACATTCAGTGCAGAGTTGTTCATCCGTGCAACAAACACCGATTTTTGTACTTTATATCGGACTTCCCTCACCTCATGAAGTGCGTGAGAAACACAATGATGAAGCAGGGCTTCAACACCCACAACGGAAGGGCAAGTTGGCTCTAATATTTCTGTGGAATTTTATGCATAATGCGTACTTCTCAATGCTAATTTGAATCCTTAACAGTTCCTGATGCAATGTGGAAATTTTACAGGCCCACTGGGATCATGTGTCAACCATGTGGAAACTTGACAGCAGTGCCATCACCTTGAAAGTGGCACCAAAGCTGACTCGATCACATATCTTTCCAAATGGATTCGAGAAAATGCGTGTGGACTTAACATTTCATGTTTTCAGTGCCCAAGTGACTCGGTGCTTAGATTTTTACAAAGATCAGATCGAGGAGCAATACACAAATGTTGAGCCAACAAGACTCGTTATTGGTCTCATGGCGGAACTAATCGAGGTGATGACATCCAGGTTTCCAGCAGAAGCTTTACGGTAAGAGTGAAATATTTACCCTGTCGATAATTAGTCCAGACAAAGTTTCTACGCTTCATACATAAACATTATTTCAGGCTTCACAGCCGAAAGGAAGCTGTGCTTGACCAGGCACTAAAGTTCCTCGATTTGTGGGAAGCTCACGCAAGAGGACTTGGCTTTCTAAGCAAAAGTACCGCAGTGGGTTTGCGTGTGACGTTGAAAAGTACGAAGCACCTCCTGGAGTACCTGTGTGAGGAAGTACATTTCAAGTATCTCATGACGGCTCGCCTAAGCCAAGACTGCCTTGAGCGCTGTTTCGGAATCGTGCGGCAGGCAGGTGGTGGCAATGATCACCCAACCCCTGCACAGTTTGTTGTTATCACGAGGTATTTTATTATCAAATTTTACGCCTTATGTTGCATGTCGTATAAACTTGTTACGCATCTGATTATGTTTGACTGCTGTTGTGAGTAAAATATGCATTGTTTATTTATAGATGCCTCAGCTTCTATAGCCTGGCAAAGAGTCCGAAGGGTGGCAATGTAGCTGACGGAGTGGTGGAATCTCTTCTCTCTCTGGAAGAAATGCTGCACGAGGTGGAAGATCACAACGAAGACAACGAAAGACTTTCATCTGACGTGCTAGAAGTGTCTGTAGATCATGCGTCATACACTGTTGAGCGAAGTGACGCCCGCCTTGTGTATTATGTCGCAGGTTATGTCGCAAGAAAGCGTGTACTTCGTAGTAATTGTGATGATTGCAAGAACGCCTGCCTTGCTTCTAAAGAAAATGTGCCAGGAAATCTCCCAGCCCAGGCAAGCAAGCTGTGGGATCTCGGAGGACTTTTGTATCCGTCGAATTCCTTCTATAACCTGATATTATCCCTTGAGAACAAAATCACTCGCTTCTTGAGCACATCACGTCTTCATGCCAAATCGGCCGTTGAGATGATGAAGGGGATAGGCGAGACGCAACAAATTGGTTGCGCAAAGCATGCTGCTTTTTTGACGAAAAGTGTGGTGCGATTTTATTGCCTCACTCGTGTCCACTTTTTTTTGAAAGGGATGAACCAAAAGGAAGACGAAAAGAAAGGGCGGAGAGTAAAGCCATGCGTACTCTAGTGGCAGTGCATGAATGGCATGCGTGGAAATAAAGTTGTGTTTTTGTGAAAAAGTGTCTGCTAAATTTATGCTGCTGGGAACAATTCTCAAGTCACACGCTTAGCGGTATAGGTAAATTTTGGCGCTCTTAATGCGTGACTCATCTGAGTTAATGTATACAT